GTGTAAATGGGTAATTGGAGTTTATATGGAGTCACATTAAAGCCATTTCAGTCCTTCTCAAGTAAAGAACGTATTTTCTTTTATGTGAGTACTTAATATTCTGGAGTCCGCGTTTAAACATTTTTTTCATTTTGGGCACAATTAAATCTATATGAATGAACAAATGAAAGCAAATGAAAGTGTCTTTTTTGAAAAGGTCCCTAATTTAATGAAATTTACTCGAAGTGGCAACCAATCCTTTCCTATTTCCTTGGGGTGCACCATTTTATAAAAGCAGCAGAAAGCTGTGCACAACAGATAACATTCACCGTAGCATGATTACATAACATTGTGTTAGAGCAGCCGGAATCTCACAGCACTGCTGTTGTATTTCCCTCCTTCACATCAGTCTTTGAAACAAAGGAAAGATGATGATGCCGTGCAGGCCATATTTGTTTAAGCTCCTTGACCAAGCACATTTTTCTTTTCCGGGTGCTGAGACTGAAGTGGTATGTGAATTTTGGTGTATAATGGATTTTGCTAAACTCAGTGCAGAAGAGAGGGGCAGAGCGTAAGAGCGTCATAGCTCGGCATTTGTCGTAGTCAGCTAGCCTATGAGTCACCTATGACCCCGGGTGACCTCCCGTCACGTATACGTATCGATGTCATCCTGAGATCAGTCCTACGGAATCTTCTCCCAAGTTCACAGGATTCTGAATGACTAAGAACTCTGGCGGTCATCCAGGATTCATAGAACCGTAGTTACATACGTAACTTTTGTTCTATTTCATCCTTACTGACCGCCAGAGGCACTGCTTCACACTGGATCACTTATATCAACAGAGTCACGAGGATTACAAGTAACCACCTCGTATTGCTCAGGCAGAGGAATTGGGGCAAAGAACCCTCTCCAGCGGGTGAGGGGGTGGCAACGTTCACTCTGTAGTGTTCTGTCAGTGTGCTGCCTTTAAGGCCGCAGCACATACATGGATATCCGTCATAGGCATTCCTCTCAGGACTGCCCCTGATGTGGCGGCACTCTTGGTAGAGTGTCACTCCATTCTCAATGGCTGAGCTTGGTTGCTCGCCTTGTATGTCAAGGCAATGGCCTTTGAAACCCAGTAGGGTGGGTGCTGCTTTGAGAGAGCACAGCCCTCGGTTCCAGCATAACTGACCGCTGTATCCAAGCGGGAACGTCTACACAAGCTCTGAGGGCCCGCACTTGGCGTGGTAGCCTTGACCTCGCCTCTCCTGCTGGAAGGTCAACTGTGCAGGCTAAATAGACTGGTTGATGCGTGAGCTTGTTCGCACCGTCCGGAGGGACGTTGCCTTAGGCCACAGAGTAATGCCAGAGCCATCTGAGGTACCCTCAGATATGATTTGCTCACCAGCAGGGCATGCAGCTCACGTATAGGTTTAGCGTCTACGATGGTAAGGACCTGTAGTGCGGGTTCAAAAGGCACGTCTAGGGTCTCCAGTGCCAAGGCTACGTTTCTTGCAGTGGCTTTTTGGCCGCTCGCAGAACATGATTGCGGAGCCCCCTGTTTTTTTTTTTGACAGAGGGCCGCCAGTCTTTGGCTCCCTACTGTGTGACGTTGGCCTCAGTAGGCTGCCCCAAAATGGGGCCGTCTACAATCCAATGGTAGGGAGACTGGCCCTTATAGAGGAGGGACTTGTGGAAAGTACAGTAGACACGGGGCCTTGTACCAGAGTCCTGTTGAGAACGCCACACTGGTCAGAAAACAGTTTCCATCTGTTTTTTTGACTCTCGGGCAGGTACATCGCGCCCTGGGATTCAGAAGTCGGTTTGACCGATTTTTGCAACCACCTAGCGCCCAGTCCGATCTTCTTGTGGCCAGGGCCATAGTTGAAGGCGTCAGGGATTGGGATGCCAAACCCAGCCCTTCAGTTGAAACAAGAGGTTCCTCTCGTTGTAAAGAACAGATCAAAGCATCTTGACCCAGAGCGGTGGTCCCCTCTGTCAGGGAGAACCAGTGGGGGCAGTGGGTCGACATCAAGTCTGTATGCAGTAGCCACTCCTGGCTGGGTTATTGCCCGAAGGCTGGTCAGGCAAAGGCTGCCCAACTAAGTGTAATCAGTTGCCCCCCCTGATATTGGCGTCAACACGGCAGAGGTGTTGTCCAACCGGACAAACACCTGCTTTCCCTCATGGTATAGCAGGAAATGCTTGAGCGCTAGCTCTTGAACATTGGCAGGCTCCTTTGGTCCAGAGCAGTGTCCTGTTCTACACCCCTGCGCGGTGCCTTCGGAGGCAGGTATCTGCTGTGACAGGCAAAATGCCACAGGGGCTCCTTGGGGATAAGGTTGTGTTTAGATGCTACCATTGTCCCAAGACTTGGCATACAAGTGAAGGCTGTGCAGCCCGAAGCCGCCCGCTGTCAATCCACCCTATAGGCGGAAAAAGCCGGATCAGTTAGCCTGGGCAGGACCACCTTGCTAACTGTGAAGCTGTAACGTCAATAAACACAATTGTACACAATGCTATTGTTGACCTACTTATTAGTTTTTAAAACAAATGTACAACGTGTTACTGTTGATCTAGTCAACTACCACCACATCAGTTAGCCTGGGCGGGAACACCCTGCTAACTGTGAAGCTGTAACGTCAATAAACACATTTGTACACAGTGCTATTGTTGATCTACTTATTAGTCCACTAGCACCACATCAGCCGAGTTACTCTGGGCGAGAAAGCCATGCTAACTGTGATAGCCGCAATGTTCATAAAAACAAATATACAACGTGCTACGGTACACCAACGTTAGTACCGCATCAATTAGTCCGGGCTAACTGGGACAGCTGTTATGTTTATAAACAATGTACACGATCGGTCTCGATGTACGTTAAGTTAGTATCTCACAAGTTAGCATACGGCGCTAACTGCGACGGGCGGTGCAACAGCGTAGCTTCCTCTACGCGCTCGTCAATGCGCCCCTTGGTCAACTCAGCGCAGCGGCGCGCTGGCAACCATAAAACAAACGGCGTTAGAAACTAGAAATTTTAAACGATCTAACCGATTGCCGTCTTCGCGCTTCAGATGGTCCTCGATAGACCCATGACGAAGCACGCCGATAGAGGGGCAGCTTGTCGCAGCCTTTGGAGGGCGGGAGGTCCGCAGCTCCGAGCGCAAGGCAACACGCAAGGCAACACGCAATAAGCTGAAATATGTCTCAATATGAGCTCGTTTAAGCTTAGCTACCTGTCTAGTGAGAAGATGAAATAGGACTGGATGGCACCAGTACTTTTACGTGACGGGAGGTCATCCGGGGTCACAGGTGACTTTGTTGGTATAAAGACTCGACCCGCGCATGCACGAGAAAATCCAGTGTGAAGCACTGCCTCTGGCGGTCAGTAAGGATGAAATAGAACCTGATAGTTGGTTAGCAATGGAAAATAAAACTTGTTTTGGCATTGCTGTCTCATGAGAACCACGTACCTTTAAAGGGGACATCATATAAAAATTCCACTAGAAGATAAGTCCACATAGCTTCTACACGTTAATGTGGCTGTCTGGCATGTCTACCAACCCCCAAACGCTGGGGAAAAAACCTGTGCATTTTTTTATGATTCTGTGAAGTATTAATACTAATTAAAACAACCTGTTTGGGGGGGCTTAAAGAGACAGGCACCACCATTTCAGACAAAAGGGCAGTACAGGGATATTTACACATACGAGAATATACATTATATTATACATTATATACTGTTTTTAACATGAAAGCATGTGAACGTGGAGACCCTAAATACAAGTATGAGTCTTAACATTAGCATGAGCTGTGTCCTTCAAACGAGAAATACCTGATAATATTATACTCTTAATTCATGAGATTTTGTGAGTATTTAGCTAAAAAAACACTTTCTTTCCGTCTGAGTAAGTAGAATGATGCAAAAGCTCACAGAATGTACCGGTACCGTGAGTTTGTGCTTAAAGCACAGTACATGGTATGTTACATTCCACCAAGACGGAAGGTCCTGAACAGTGTCCTCCATTTAGCGGATTTCCTTTCCTCCTGGATGGATTTGCCAGCAATCATCGGACCCTCCACGGACCACATGTGTTGAAACACTCTGCTCAGAGGAAACCGGAATAGTCCCCACAGTGCAACACAGAAGGGAAGACACTCTTGTCAAATGTCGTGTACCAGATTGCTCAAAAGAACTAGTGGTTGGATTCAGAGGAAGATGCGTGAGTGACCCTTATCCTTTCCTCGGAAGTAAATATCAGGACAAAATTCACCAAATCTAACTTGCCGTTTACACTCTTAGAAAAAAAGGGCAGCTTATCATTGAGGACGTTAAAACCGTTCTTCCATTGAACAGGTTTGGGTTTTGCTGCATCGACTGTAAAAGGTTTTCACTGGTGTGTGTGTGTGTGTGTGTGTGTTTGTGTGTTTGTGTGTGTGTGTGTTGTCTGCTGGGTTAGAAAGGTGAAACGGGTCACCTCCGCTCTGCTGTGGGGGGGGCGACCTGTGTTTGTGTGTTTAACAAGAGAGTCAACGAGGGCGAAGAACTACAAAAGCAACAACAGCATTGTGATAAAGACCAAAGGTCTTCTGGGTAACAACACGCAGTCTCCCCTCTCCTCTGATGGAGCTGGGCTGGTGGATTCCTCATGCCTCCACCCTCTGTGCTGAACAGTGGAAGCACTACGTGTATGAGCCACCTCTACTCGACTTGAGTACTTCCTTTTCATACCTCTCAAGTCGTCTGCATCTCTGAAGTCTATGACCTTGTTCTCATACACCTTCATCTGACCGCTTTGATTACCTTGTAAATTGTTAATACAAGTAATAGCTGGACTGAGACAGGATGCATCATCATAGGTCCTTATTGTCACTATTTAGCATTACTCATTGGGGAGAGTGTTGCAAGCAGTGAAGCTGGGGGCTGTAAAAATAAAAGTCCTGGAAACCTCTGTGCACATTTCCTGTCCTCTCTCTCTCTCTCTCTCTCTCTCTCCCTCTCTCTCTCCCTCTCTCTCTGGTTTTTGGCTTTAGGACAGACTCGAAGTAACTCGCTCGGCTTTGTTCTCCCTATCTCACAATCTACCCCCTCTCTTTCTCCGTGTGTGTTTTCGGATGCCAGACATCTTGGGGTGACGGCGAGCTGTGGAACAGAGGGGAGGGGTGCTGCCAAAGTGTGAAGTGTGTGTGACAGCATTCCTCTTCCTCTGAGTGTGTGCAGGAGGTGAAGAAGACAAACAGAGAAGCTCCAACAACTTGGAGGTAGGTGCCAACCAGCTTTCACACGCTCTCGGCTGTTGCTATCTTGTGCTGACACTCCAACAGGCCTCTAAAAAGAACCACCAAAAATCTGGGATTTCCTTCCTTTCGTTCTATTATGGCTTCTTCTGTAAAACACTAAAGTGTGCTCCTCCACTTTGACATGCTGAGGATGTGATTAGAGCAGCAGGAGCTCAGCGGAAACTTTCTCTGAAGTGTTTTGTTTCAGTGCTGCAGGGAAACCTGCAGACAAGCGCGTCTGCCCACAATATGGACAGATGAGCTCGTTTAATGGAAAGATTAAACCTACTATTCTAAATTATAAAGTCACTCTATGTATATATAAAGTCAGTTTTCTAAAATATGCAGTGCAGAAAGATAACAGTTTTGTTAACAGATGAAGTCAACGTTTCAGAGAACTACATTCATTGCTTAGACAGAAATGTACTATATGGACACACAGTAGGGGCATTGGATGAGCAGACAACCTCACTGAAGGGACAGATGTTCACTGAAGGGACAGATGTTCACTGAAGGGACAGATATCTCCCGTTGTGGCGGGGGCTCATTGGGTAGAGCGGGTTCTGACCTGTCCATGTGTAGCCTGTATATGTAACAACACTCTAAGTTTACTTACTGACGAACAGACCAACTCACACATAAACACATGTGTATAAATATACAGCTACACTTATGAATATACGAAGAAACTAACATACATTTGTACAAGCAGATAAATACAAATATAGACAAACCCATGAATAATGAGGAAAAGAAATATCCAGATTAACTGAAGATATATGTATAATATAGTGGCCTGAGTAGATTCATTGTCCTCATCAAACAGAAAGGGTTGTGCTTGAAGCAGAAGGATTATGTAGCAATAAAACCCAATTACAGCAAGTTTAGTTCACTTTATTGGCCCAGACCAGCCAATGCAAATATTTTTGAAGATGATGATCAAGATCTTAATAGACAAACATAGATTGTGGCTGTTGTTGGTAATGTAGTTACAGTAGCAGTTAATGCAGTAACAGAGCCAGCAGCTCAAAAGCTGTTTTTGTTTTCCTGTCTTTTTATGCGCTGTTTTATAAAGTATCCTTTTGTGCGTTTAAAATCTTGTGCTGCTCTTTGTTTTGAACATGAAAATATGTATTTGAAACTAAATACTGTATGTTTGCAATAGGAGTCATCCAATTTTAAGGTTTTAAAGTCGGTGCAGTTTGCAGTAAAATGGCCACTGTGTAGAAACTTTCATTGTTCACTGGCCTGTGCGGGTTTGACGGTGGTCGGATCTGAAGTTAATTATCATGTTTCATTCAGAACCGTTGCATTTCACCTCAGTCAGTGTGTTTCCCATTGAGCAGCAGTGAGTCACCGTCGCAGCAGCTGGTGGATCATTTATCAGACGTTCCGTCTCGGCAACAACTTCTTCTGCTCAGAACCAGTCATTTTAGCCGGGACGGACACCGACCCTCCGGCTCTGAACACCAGAACCGAGCTAGAATCTGCTGCCATGGCAGCAGCTCAGTGAGCCTGTACCGGATTAAATGCTGAGAGGAGAACACAGGTTCCCCAAAATCAAAATAATTTATCCTCCTGGGATCACAATGACAGTACAAAATTGCAGGGCAATGCGTCACCATGTACTGCTTACGAAAGGTGGCCGTTGTCATCTTTACCTCAAGTTTGAACCCTCAATTTTGCCGTGTCCATTTTGGAATGGGGGTGTCGCCATGTCAGCGTTTTTTACATCCAAGGAAACGATGTACCTACATTTTTTATGTGGAGGGGCTTTATTGGTTTCTCTTGAGTATTTTATACTGTAAAGGTGAAAATTACAATTCTGAAATAGTCTAAAAGGCGTATAACAAAAGACCCCGATGCTTTCCATTGCAGGGCCCTATCCCTTTGGAAGCTATGCAGTTATAACCCTGGCCCCTCCCGTCCACATCGAGGGCACCTTGCATGGTAGTATCAGCATGTGAATGGTGGCAACACGTGAATGATGACATCAAGTGAAAAGCCATCTAGACTACAGAGGAGCTATAATTTATTTACCATTTGCCTTGTGCATATGTCGTACCCAATAGCTCTGGATTATGTCCCAACCTCCATTTCATAGCCTTGTTGTATAATCTAAAGCCACATTTATTTAGCTTCAAGCTCCAGTGAGCATCTTTCATAGAAACCAGCTGGACACTGTACAGTCTCTATATGACCTACACAAGTAAAACAAGATCAGCTTACATATTCTGTAGATATTTGTAATACTTGTCATCGGGTTTGATTCTGCGAGTCCAGTCACATTGCATCACAGCACAGTTTACGGAGTACATCAATGACTCTGGCAGCAAAAAAGAGTCATAGGTGAAATACGGTGTCCTCAAAGGTTCACAAAGTTGCACAGAGCTGCAGCTGCATACACACCCGCACACACAGACATCAACCTGAGAACCTCAAACTAATGAAGCGTCGCTCGTCTGGCTGGATGGGAAGTGACACGCCGGCTCCAGTTGTTGCCCTGCTTTGATCCTGAAAACACCCCCTGCCTCCCCCTGGCCCTCCTCCCCCGCTCCACCCCGGTCCAATGCCATTTCCAGCACCTCGCAGGTCACGCAGATTAACTCCTGCAGTGGGCCTTAGTTTTGAAGTGAAATGGAGGGTGAAAGCGCTTTCCTGCTGCGAGTGTGGAGTGGCGGCTGAGTGCGGAGAAGCCAGGCCGGCCAGCTGCATGCTGGGATTTTTTCTTAATGGGTTTGGTAGACTACGGTAGATGTGTGGTTGGCTATCGGCAGTTGTTGCCATTCAGATGCAGCTTGTCCTTTTGTTTTTTAGCAATAAGGAGTCGTAAGGAATAAATGTTGACTATTGAGAAGGTTCGGAGTAGGTTAAGATGCGTCACCCAACTGTGTTTGTTAGCTTTTAAATTCTCACATTGTAAATTGCCTTATTTTGTTTTAACTAACAGCTCCAAAAAGCAATAGCTGTCTTTTTATTAAAAGTGGCTCAAATATGTGAAGGGAAAGGGGGTAAATGTCTCCCCATCTATGTAGCGTTCAAACTTTGTTTCCTGTCTGTCGTCTCAGCAAGCGACTATTGGTCATCGACACCATCATGTTTCTCTGATGGGCATCAAAACTACTTTAAGGAGATGACAGCTTTCTTTGTTCTGTCCTCAAACAGAGCAAACTTCTTAACGAAGGAGAACATAATTGCAGCGTTTAAGTGTCCCATAGTCGCTGAGATTGATAGATCCGTTACTCAAATTTAAACTCGCTGTCTCGACACACAGCGCATTATTTTGAACTCCCCCTAAATTCATAACAACATCCTTGTCCCTCCGGTTTGACACCACAAAGCCAAAACTGAGTTATTTGTTTGTGTCATTTCTTAATCACTTTCATTTAATCCCGTTCTGCAGGTTCCACTGACACCGGACCGAAAAAGAGCACACGTGCTGCAACCGACTGAATGGAAGACGCCTCGGCCTTCCTCCTCCATCGGCCCGCTTTGCTCCAGAACACGACTTCCAAAAGCCTCCAGGAGGAGCCTCCTCATCCGACATGGCTGCCCTCAGCGCTTCAGTACAGCTGCTGCTCCTGTTGGCGGCAACCGCGTCCTTCTGCGGCGGGAGTCTGGTGGCGGTGAACTCGGGCGTGGAGGTCGCTAGGGGTCGGTCGGTGCTCGTCACGGAGAGGGAGCTGAAGATCGCCACGGGCCCCACAGTGGACTGTAAGGTGGAGGTGGTGATGAACGAGCCGGTCACTCAGAGGGTGGGGAAGCTGACCCCGCAGGTGAGGTCACGCCTGCTGTAGTTGTACAGTTACACGTGGAGTCAACCAGTCCACTGGTTTTACCGGTCTTCGGTGTTGGGGTTCGCAGGTGTTCGACTGCAGCTTCTTGGAGGGCGAGGTGAAATACGTCCATGATGGAAGTCCTCTGCTGGACGAGGACACAGTGATGCTGAGGGTGTACAGGTCAGTTAGCCACCGTTAGCATTAGAAGCAGTTACGCTAGCAGCGGTATAGTGATATGATAAAATATCAAACATTTAATTATCTCAATTTACAATAATATTAATATTAGTAGATGGATTTATCTACAATATAAAGGCCTGGCACAGTAACAAAAATAAACAGATAATACACAAAAATATTATATATATATTATATGGGAATTAATTTGGATTGATACATTGAAACCAAATCCCAACGTTGCTCTTTTAACTCTGCGTGTCCCGGTAAAGGTTTGCGGCCTCGGACACGCTGGTGGAGACGGTGGTCCTGTCGGTGAGGGTGGTGGACTCGGGGTCCGGCGTGGTGGAGCTGGGCAGCGCTCCGCTCGTGGTCCCTCTGTTCTACGGTTTATCCAACGCCATCGACAGCTCCGTCTTGAACATCCGCTCGGCGGCAGACGTGGCCTGCGTCGTCAGGCTGATGACCGTCGACACCAGCGTCCCGGCTCTGGGTCGGCTGGTCACGGAGGAAGATTCCACTCAGAGGAAGGGTATGGTGTTCAAACCACGAAGTAGATGTCCTGTCTGGCCAACAGTAACCATAGCAACAGCCCTTATGCTTTAGGTTCTGTTAGCTGGTAACCCTCCTGTAAATTATGTTATATAATACTTGTATAAATAATTTGAAGGTATTCTATAACATCAATACAGCACTTCATTGCTGACATGGATAGTATAAATAGGCTGGATAAAAAATACCAATTCACTCTCACATAAATCAAATTATGTGAGAGAAAATGAGAATATAAGAAAATATACTATACATACAAAAATAAGGTAAAATCGCAAAAAGAAAAAAAAGAAGAAAAATTATATACATTCAGACATTTCTATACACTTTTACATTACATTACAGGTCATTTAGCTGACGCTTTTATCCAAAGCGACTTATATTACATTTGTATCCCATGGCTTTTACATTTTTGCCCGGTGAGCAATTAGGGCTTGGGTGTCTTGCTCAGGGACACTTGGGACATGGGGCAGCCGGGACTCAAACCACCAACCTTGCGCACCCTCGACCCCTGATGTCCCTGACTTTTAAACATTTAAATTGGGACTCGCTTCGTCTCCAATCGTCTGTTGTCCCCCATCAGGCAGAGAGACGGCGGCGCTCTGTCCTGGGAACAAACCCTGTCGTCACGACACCAAAGAGGTTAGTTTCCTCAAAATCAGCTGCCAGGACTTCCTGAGCTCCGGTCTGAAATACCAGCACCTCCGCCCTCCGTCACCGGAGATCGACTACATCCCCATCCGGGTGGAGCTGAGGCTGCAGGGCACCAGGGCTCTGATGGAGGTACAGGCAACATTCCACTCTCTTTTGATCACAGTGAGTGCAGTAGAGAAAACAACTTGTGGCAACACTACTCAAAAGTGCTTTAATTGAACAAAGTCCACAGCAGCTTCTGTTCCTCTTCCACCTCCAGGTGAGATCAGCGTCTGAGAGGTTTATTGGCAGTCAAAAGGTGACATCCCACTTTCCGGTTCTCAGCTCTGTGGAAGTGGGAGCAGACTTCAAAAACAAACCTAAATGTCAAAACTCAACACGTCTAATCGTCTTTTCTGGGGCTTACTTTACAACACCACGTGTAACAGTAGTTGTGGCAGCATGTGTTGATTTCTAAGTGATGCACTTTGTGTTAAAACATACACTGAAAAGTTAGGAGTCAGCAGTCATGTGTTTCCCTCAATTAACAACAATTTTTAATAGAAAACAGTATAATTTAAAGCACACATTTTTTTTGACATATCAGATGGGTTTAGCTGTAAGCTTTTAATTCAATCATTTTATTTAACCAAAATCCACACAGTGATATGGGGAGAATACTACCTCCTCAGAATGTTTTTTCGGGTCCAGAAAAGCTTTCCTTCGAAACCCTCCAGTTAACGAGTAACAATATTAGAGACTATCTATGAGCTGGTTGATGCTACGCTAGGATTGGCCAATTTCACTTTGAAGGCAGAACTTAGAAAAGGGTTGCGTGTTGTGAGCAAAGAAACATTTGCTCATATTTTTATAATATTCTGCGGTAGTTGGTCTACTCGAGTTAGTTTACGTGCTCAATGCGTTGTTGCTACTGCAGCTCAGTCATCTATGGCCCCACCCACCAGATGCAAAGACCTCCACCTTCCCATCCCCTTCCCCCACCTCTGCAGGCACAGTCGGTGTGGCTGCCGGTTCTGATCCACGGTGCAATGCAGAACCAGCCCCCTCATGCCGCCTTCATGGCCTCCTTCATCTTGGAGGTGGACCAGTTCATCCTCACCCCGCTCACCACGGCCTCCCTGGATGCCAAAGACCACGAGACGCCGCAGGAGAGGCTGGTCTTCAATGTGTCCGCCCCGCCCCTCGAGGGCTACATCACCCACCTGACCGACCACACAAAGCCCGTCACGTCCTTCACATGGCTGGACCTCCACGAGATGAAGGTGGCCTACCAGCCGCCCAACAGCAGCCAGTCGCACCGCAGGAACTATGAGGTAGCGGGGTTATGCTAATATGGGTGAAAGACAGGACAAAAAATACATGGTGTGTTGTCAAAAAAACTAACATTTTAGGGAGAGGTAAATATTTCCGTTTTCTTTTAGAACTACACAACATTGAATGGAGGTTTTCTACTAATTTATTCATTGAGTATATTGTCTTGTGCGCGTTTATTCCTTTTTTAATTAAAGCTCAGAATACAAAGTAGAAAAATTCTAAACAATCTGTATATTAAATATTTAGTTTTAATGGTCAAGTTTTAAATTTATGTCTATTCTGTAAATCTATTTTATGTAAGGTGGAGTTCCAGGCTATAGATAGTTCCTACATGACCAGCCCACCCATTGTGGTACACATCTCCATCAGGGTGACGGAAACAAACGCCCCCAGAGTCTCCTGGAACATGGGTACAAAACCTTCACATTGTGTCATCTATATAATACATCCTTTATTATAGTCAAACTGAGCAAACTTTGCTTAAACTCAACTTTAAAGGCCATTGTCTTCCTGTGTCTGCAGGTTTGGATCTGCTTGAGGGTCAGTCTCGACCAATCACGTGGGAGGAGCTGCAGATAGTGGACAACGACAACATCGATGCAGTCTATCTGGTGGCCGTGGACGGGCCTCTCCATGGACGCCTCAGTGTCAGAGGTGAGGTCAAACTCACATCTGGTGCTTTCTACTTCCCTGCATCTAATTGATGTATATTTGTGTCACCAGCATAGCCCTAGTCGTCACTTGCACTCAGGGCGTTACCACAGAAACCCATACGGATAGGTTGATACAAATCCGATATGATCACATGCAAATAAAAAGGCAGGCCGTCTGTAAAGATTTGAGATGGAAACTGCGTTTTTACATCACTCCTCCATGTCTAATATTGTCACCATCGTTCACTCCAGGCTTCAAAACTGCACCCATAAACAAATGGGTGATGTCACGCTGACAACGTCCACCTGCTAGATACAGTCTGTGGTCTGAAAGGCTTACTTTCTCTAAAGGATCTGATTAAAAATAAAAAATACACGCCTATAGATTGAGATTAAAGATTTGAATGAATTCTCCTCTGCATATAAAGTGGTAGCTGCAACAAAACATTTATTTAATTAATGGTTGATAATGTATGATACAAAAATATTCCAATATTAATATAAAAATAAAAAATTACAATAGACTGTCTAATAATACAATTTAATAATAATACAGTTTGTATTATTAATTTAGTTTGGTAAAAGATCTGCATATTTCTTCCCGGGCGTGTAAATAAACTACAATGAGTTGGTTGGTGTAAATACCTTTACATATGAGTATACAGTATCAGCAGCTGCATATCTTTAACCTGTGAATGTTTTAGTTGTTGGTTTCTGCATAAATTCAACCGAAGTTATGATACGTCAAAAATGTGTGTCAAAACCCCAAAAGCAGCTTGATTAAAGGAATGAAACCTCCGTGACATTCTGATTGGATGCAAACTATGAGGTAGACGAACGATGGAGTGTGGTGAAATGCATGTTTGCACCTTCATCCACATGCAGTGTGCAGACGGACTCCTCTCTATATGAAGCCCTGTTGGAACCTCGGCCTGTTTGGGCGTGTGCTGGTATTCCGACCCCCGGGGAATTCCCAAAGAACGTCTTCTGGCCTTTTCCGTCCTTTTTCCTCCATGTGTCGCCCATCCGTCAGGGACTGTGGTGTGGCTGGGGAAGCATATGTCTAGTGGCCCTGCATGTGTTTCCTAATCAGGTGTAAAATGGGGCCGCGGCCGCTTCGCCGGAGGAGGGAGGGGGGGGGCGGAGACTGCCGCCACCGCCTCCCTCTCCGTCCACGTCTGTCCCTTCCAGCCCAGCGCGCTGGGACACGGCATCTTTGTCTGGAAACGGGGAGCAGGACCGAGCAGATTGGAGGGATTTATGGCATTTCATGCCCCCATGCACAGGGAGCAGATGCACTGTCCCCAAACAGGTTTTCATGCTACCAGCTAGGGGGGGTTGAAGAAGGAGGGAGGAGGTGGCAGGAGAGCAGGCACCCCCTGCAGAGGGAGTCTCAGAGGGAGAAAAGGCTCGTTTTTCAGCTTATTCTCCAACTCGTTTCACCAAATGTCATTTTTAACATTTTAATCTAGACGCATTCTGAAACAGCAAATAATGGTGACCTGCGAGAGCGCCTCACAGCGGGCTTCAATGTAATCAATTTGCAGGCTGAATAATAGATATAATATATTACATTTTTACTGATACCAACCAAGAAAGAGTTTTCTGAAAGGCTCACTACAAAACTGAGAGGAAACAACTGGGCTGACCAGGGCCTCTCTTGCTGTCAGTTTTATTCCAGCGTCTGTCCAGGCACTGTTGTCCTCCGGTGGCAGCAAGGATTCTGCTCAGAACTTCCACAATCCAAACTGAGAGTCCGCAGCATCCGGAATGAGATTCTTCTTTAGAAATCCCTTTGGAATCGTTTTCAAACCTTCTGTCCAGACTTTTCAAAAGATACAAAATGCCAAAAGACAGATTTGAGCTGCCGAACTGAAGAAAATCTTCAAATATCAATTAATAAAGTAGAAAATACAACATTTCCCTTTTAGATGTAGCGGAGAAGCCCAAATCAACAAAATGTAAATACTCAAGTACTGTATGTTGGACCGATTCGAGGTACCTCCACCACTGACTACCAGACTCCCCATCTTTCTCGAACCTTAAACAGCAGTGATGTCCAACAGACTGGTCCAACATGCTGGTCTGTTTGCAGTGGTCTCTACCAGAGTAGAGAAACCAACAAAAACACATTTGTCTCCCATGTCTCCTTCTTTCTTGTATTTACTCTCGCCCGACTCTTCCTTAAATTGTTATCTTGAAACTCTGTTCTCCCTTTCTTTCTGTCTTTAATACCAACAACCAGAAAAACCCGATCCAACAGCACAGCAGAGTAGTTGGCTGGTTGTTGAAACTTTTGTCCCACTAGGCCTGTCCCCCCCCTATCCTCTCTCCCATGTTGGACAACAGCACCTGCTCTAGTATCCTTTTTTTATTTCCCCCAGTGTTGACTCTTGTTTACAGAAAACAAAAGTTTGGCTTCGCTCCGCTTACATGCATGTGCGCTACGTGGGAGGCCTGTAGGAAGCAGTCCTCTGGTGGAGTTGTGTCTCTGAGGAGGGTTCCGCTGACCCTCCATGCTCCATGGGGGGGGGGGGGACCGCAGGCTCCGTCCAACGCCTTCAGCCAAATGGATGGCTGCCTGTCCTGATGCTCAAACGCACACACATACACACATCCCATTTCCTCCGCTATGGGCCTGTTGCCCAATGCCACCTTTGGGCCCAATTATCAAGTTGTTTCCATCTACTTGGACCGGTAGCCGATTCGCACCCCCCCTCTTCGCACCCCCCCGCTTCCCCCCCAAACTCGGTAAAGTCGCTAATGAGGTTTGGGGCTCGCGACCGCTCATCTCTCTCAATCTGTCTGATGACCTTGCCCTTCTGTCTCCCTGGCACACGCGAGAGGGAGACAACCCCCCCCCCCTCCCCGACGCTGGCAAAGGACGCCACGTTGTACCCCACTAGTGCGGACCCTCGGCCAGTGCCCCGCGTTGCCTTCAGGCACCTAAGAGAGAAAGTTGTTATTTTCCAAATGACAGTTGGAGAAAGAAGTTGACGCATGTGTCAGCGAGGATAATTGAGTAAAAAGGTTTGGAAAAAACAGAGTCCTCTGATGTTAACACATGTCCGCTAGTCATGTGACGCTCCGCTAGCAGTTAGCATGATGTACAGAGCGAAGGAGGCCAGCCAGCAACAGAGGGCCAGCAGATGGACACGGCCTACATTCCGTCAATGTGGGACAGTCAAGTTTTCTCATGTTCCATCCAACTCTTTGCCGAAGTCCAGACTCCACAAGATTATAACTGTCAAAAATTGGAATTAAAACACTGTAAAAATATGGATTAATCTAATCTTCCTTCTAATTGTTAACTTCAATCATTCACGTTGTTTAAATTTCTCCACATATTTGCTGTACATCCGGTGACCTTCAATTATAAGGTTGAATATTTTTCCAGTCATAAAAAAACAAACGGTCAAAATACATTTTAATAATTTAGATACAATTTTTACTGCAAATCCATGAAAATTCACATTTGATTTCATTTAAATGTATGTTTCAGATAATTGACTGGGTTCCATTGTTTGTCATGTCATTATGCAAGAGACAACAAATCATGTTTTTAAAACTAAACCAAACTACACCGAAACTAATGTGAAATCAGAACTGTAAATTTACTCTTTTAACAATATAAGCTTTCCCTAGAAAGCAGCCTAATGATTTTGTTTCTGGTCTGCGGTTAGAAAATCCCATGATGAGTTTTATCTCTTGGTCCATAGACCTTTTTTGATCATTTGAAAAATACAAATGACTTCAGAAAATAAATTGTTTGTTCTAGTACATTATTGATTTATATGGTGAGCCTTCCTCACGTGGACAGTCTGATGGTTTCTCCTGTAGGCGGGAAGGCGTTCATGTTCCGCGTGCGGGACCTGCGAGAGGCCGCGGTGGTCTACCACCACTCCGACAGCGACAGCACGCGCGACCACGTCGTCTTCCGCATCAGCGACGGCCGCCACAGCGTCCGCCACAGGTTCCCCATCAACGTGCTGCCCAAGGACGACTCGCCGCCGTTCCTCATCAACAACGTGGCGGTGGAGGTGCGCGAGGGTGGCGCCGTGCGGCTGGAGGAGTACACGCTGCTGGCCTCCGACCTGGACTCCAGCGACGACCACATCCTCTACCGGGTGGGTTCCGGGCCCCGGGCCGGTCGGCTGGTGCGGAAGACCTCCCCCCGCGAGACAGGTGAGGGAGGGGCCTGTTTAGTGTTAAGTTTGATTCGAGAACCAGGAGACCAAAGACATGTTTGGTTTGTTGTAAAAGTCAAAGGTTGCGACTGAGGTTAGAAATTATAGATAAAATTACTCAAAACATTAGGTTTTTTCATAACATGGAAATATTTAACAATTGCAACAACAACAAGGTATGTTTCTACATCACACTGTGCTGCATAAACTGTACAATGCCTACAAACAAGCCTCTTTTATTTTGAAAATCATACTCCTTAAATAGTGTTTTTCTGTCAATTGTGACTAGTTCCTTTCTCCGGTTCTTCTCTACAGCCTTGTTTTCAAAAGGGAATTTTATTTGATTACATGTTTACAGTCTGCAGTCAAAATGCCAACATTCATTGTTCGTTCGTTGTAGCAGACCTTCTTCACCTCGTGAGCATTGTTTGTGTGTTTTCACTGTGCAGGAGATCCCGTGGACCGTTTCCTCCAGAGAGATCTGATCCAGGGTCAGATCTACTACCAGCACTCGGGAGAGGAGATGTTTGAGGACAGCTTTGACTTCACGCTGTCTGACAGCCACCAGCCGCCCAACCTCTCCCAGACATACGTGAGTCACCTTGGATTACAGAAGCAATGCATGAACATTTACTTCAGCCCGACTTTGAGCGTTTTAAAAATGTACTATTAATACTTTTACTTCAGTAAAGGATCTGAACACCTGGTCCCCTCCCTGTGCATCCAGACGGTGGTGGTCCACGTTTTCCCGGTGAAGGACCAGCTGCCAGCGGAGGTCTCCGACAGCGTGCGCTCTCTGACCGTGAAGGAGACGGAGGTGGTTCACATCACTCGGGCTCACCTCCACTTTACTGACCGAGAGCATCCAGACACGGACCTGACCTACGTCATCACGCAGCCCTGCTTCAGCCCACTGCACCCTGGGTGAGGTCACGGGCAGGACTTGTTTAGCATAGCTTCGCACAAGAGAACACAATCCTTTTAACACCTCTAAATCTTCATAAATAATAAATAATGCATTTTCCAATTTCCCCAAATTGAAAGAAATGTATTTTTCATGAATTTTCTTTTTTGTTTTGAGGCTCATGGATGCAGGCCGTCTGTTCTACACAGACAGCGCCAACAGCATGAAGAGAGACCACATGGTGCCGGTGTTAAAGTCCTTCACACAGGTTTGGAACACATAAACTGCCTCCTGATATTCACAGGCAGCACAATTCCTACTTCACCCTCCAAACGACTATTGCATCGTTACACACCCCAATCATCAATCAGAGATCCGCCATTAAAATTTCTACAAAGTTCATGGTAAAACTGACTGATTTATAAAGGTATCATATATATATATGATATATATATATGATACCTTTATATATATAAAGGTATATATATATATATATATATATATATATGAATAAATGGGATTTTAACAATAAGTTAAACATATTCTCCCAGCATGCAGTGCACCACCTGAAAGTGGCCTTCATGCCTCCAGTGGAGGACATCGGGCCGGAGCCGCTGTTTGTGCAGTTCGTCTTCTCCGTCAGCGACCACCACGGAGGAGCCGTCTCCGGCCTTCTCTTCAACATCACCGTCACTCCGGTGGACGACCAGGCGCCAGAGGTCAGAGGTCAAACAGTGGGTTGTTGTTTTGCGGAATTGAACGCTCTCGCCATACCATATGATGATCTTTGAAAGTCCTGTGGTTTTTAAATCTCCCATCCTATGAAACAGAAAATCCAAGTGAATATTCCTACTTTTTCCTTATTCCTCTACACATTTAATTCTGCAGCTCTGTTGGTTGATTTCTGTGTGCTTCTTCAGGCCTTTACCAACCCGCTGCGGGTGGAGGAGGGCGGAGGGGCTTTCGTGACGGAGGAGCACCTGCTGGTTCAGGACCGGGACAGCAGGGAGGAGGCCCTGAGGGTGGAGGTCCGGAGGATGGCAGGACGCGGCCGGCTGGAGCTGCAGGGCCGAGCGCTGCAGCAGGGAGATGGCTTCTCCCTGCAGGACCTGAGAGGACTCCGACTCAGGTCAGACCCAGCGGGCCGTCGGGCTTCAGCTTTCACACCTATAGGTTTGGTTCAAGGTGTAGGGACATGTGACAGGTATTAGCCATGGTAACGGGGCAGTAAAAATATTTATTTGAAGTTAATTTAGAAAAAAGGGCGAGCAGTTGTTGTAGAGGAGCCTTGTTACTGGACTTGGACTTGCAGACAGGAACCATGAGCCATGACTTTCTTTCTTTACATCAGTTTCAGAGAGAACCAGGTGTATTTTTTATCTTTTTTTCTGATCCGTGGTTACTTTCAGTATAATGTCCATTTCCACATGACTAATTGCAGAACAATACAATTAATACTATGAATAAAATTATTCACCATCAAACTCTTGTAACCTTCACCGTTATATTTCAGGGTTTGATGTAAGAAAAAAAACAAGTCTTGAGGGCAGTTTAACATCTATCGAACGACAGAGAAAAAATCATAATGTAAAAAGCTTTCTGTTTCAATAGTTTATTTACAGTATGAGTAAAAGTACTACACGTCTGAATAATAAACTAGAGGTAAAATGTAAGAGCAGAGTCATATGATGTTTTAAAAAACACATCACGTGTACCAGGCAGAACTGTAACCAGGGGTTTGAGCAGCCAAACCACATTTTAATAACACTGGTATTTGACATAATATGGGGTTTTATGGAACTCTTCAATATCTACAATGTGTCTCTGATTATAAAGTTGCTCTATTGCAATTATATTATTTCATGAGTCTGTTTCTCACAGTTTCACCAATTTCATGCATTTAAATAAGTTGTGTTTGTCTCTAATTTCAGGGCGAGGGACTGGATAATATATTGATATATTGCACCAATTAACAAAATACAATTTTTGCATAAATGTCCAATAATCTAAACATCTGATCCAAACAATAGTTTAACAGTGATGTAATAGAAAACCCATGTTCTTGTCCCAATGGGTTTCAGGATCACTCACTGCAGTGACAAGGAGAACAAACATGATCAAAGCTGAGTGAACAGCACAGAGAGCTAACACGCTAATTAGATGGTTGCATGCTTATGTTCCATGATTACACGCTGCAGGCCCACGTGCACTGATTCCATGTGTAAACTGTTAGTCTGCAACGTTTTTGGACTGGATCCCGGTGGAGTGTCTGTTTACACACTGTACACACTGATCCGGCTAACGGGAACATCAACTGAAACCTCCGGACGAAGAGACACATTCAGTCGGGTCTGGCTTTTCAGATGTGGGTATCTGAACTTGGGTGTTATTGGTCCCATGTGCATGAGTCCTTCGGCGGACCCACGCATTTAAAAAAATATGCCGTATCTTTGTTCTGTCGCTCTCCTCATGCCGCCTCGCTGCACTCAAACAATGTTAAAACAAATATTTTCAATTCAGCCGTTTTGCGCCTGTAGAAAGTGGTTTATTACAATTCTGTGAGTTGATTTCAGCTCCGTGGTTTAAATCTTGCTACTGGAGACGCTAAACTTGTTGGTTGGTTTCTAATGTGAAATCTTCCTTTGGACTTTGGGACTTTTGGACTACAGGTAGTTCTGGGCTCAGAATCGGAAAACCGAGGAGGAAACCAAGTGGCAGTTGTTCCGGTGACTTTATTGATGCAATTTCAAAAATTCACACTTTGTGAGTCTGACATAAAGACAGACAAGCATTCACTCTGTCTCACACACACACACACACACACACCTCTGGGTGGTTTAAAGTGACCAATTAACCTAACCCTGACCTGACCGGAGAGCAGCTTCTACAGAGAAGAACACTTGTAGAACCAGACCTACTCTTTGTGAACGTTGTGTGGTGACAGACGGCTCTGTGTGTGACAGGTACCTCCATGACGACTCTGAGACCACAGAGGATGAAGTCCATCTGAAGGTGACGGATGGTCTGAACTCAGTAGACGTCGTCCTCCCGGTACAGGTGAGTTTACCTGACCACGGTAGAGAAATGGTGGCATGTTGTCTTTACCGACATCAACACAGAGCTCCTGTTCATATCTGAAAAAAGGACATTCAAAGCGCTCTGGGAGAATTTGACCATTTTCGGAATACTTTTGAATCTTTATTTGTTCCTGCTCCTGTGTGATGTTAGTCTCCTGCTGTCATCAGGTCCTGCCAATGAACGATGAACCTCCCCAGCTGGGTGGAGGGCTGCGGGGGGAGCTGAGCTGCGAGGAGGCCGGGCGGGTCCAGTTGACGGTGGACTACCTGTCAGCCACAGACCGGGACAGCGACGACTCCAGGCTGACCTACATGCTGGCCCGGAGTCCAGGACGGGGGGAGCTGCAGAGAGCCGGACAGACCGTGGACAAGTTCTCCCAGCAGGACCTGCTGCAGGGACACATCTACTACGTGCACACAGGTGAGGGAGGATTGTCGTGGATGACGATTTGTCCGCGTGTCCCGGAATAAATGTGTGTGCTCTTCTCTTTCGCTTATCTTCATTATGTTTTCTCTATAACCACATGACGCTTATGGTTGTCATAGCTGCTCAACAACAGCTCTACACCTTCTAGCTGAATCCAATAACTTTAATTGTGCTCCTTTGTTCCTAACTTTTCACGTGTCAGCTGGACTTTCTTGTTAACTGATCGTTGCATCAGAACTGTTTTAATGACGATGGTGATGAAATAATTTGATCCTACTTCACGTTAAAAGATTTTCCCTCGCCGAGCAGGTGAATGCTTTTATTGTGAAGCAGCATTGGGAAATGGTCAGATTCCTCCGTAAAACAAGACATCAGCAGATGAGTTTTTGAAAAAACAGGGAGTTGACGTGCAAACAGAAGCAGTTTCAGTGAGCAGTTGGAAGGTAAAGAGCTGCTGTTAGTGAGAACAGTGTGTATCGTGTCCTGGAAGTAATTCATCAGACGTCTTATTCTCACAGCATTCAGAAGTGACCTATTTTGGTTTCTGTTTCAGGAGGAGAGATCGGACCAGAGCCGGTACTGGAAACCATCACCCTCATCATCTCTGACGGCGAGGCCGGAGGGACAAATGGATGTTGCCATGGAGACGCCCCTCCACCTCCCGTGCCTCTCCATGGCACGCTTCCTGTCTACGACCTGAACATCACCGTTCTCCCTGTCAACAACAAAGTACCCTCCGTTACTCTGGGTAAGACTTATGTGATGATATTCCTAAGGAACACTTTAGCTCCTGGGTATCTAAGATCACAGAATGTTGTTTACTGTCATTTAAATCATTAGGAATTACTGTTACTGGGAAGTTCTCTGAAAAATGTCCAATAATAACAGTAAATATTTGGAGGTCTTATTATCCAGACTGGATGATATGTAGAGTACCTATTAATTAAAACCCCCTCACCCCCCTTATTTAACAGCTTTAAGCTAACAAAAACCCAACGATTCTTAGTTTCAGGTCATTATCCAGGAAGCAAATATTATAATCTATTTCTACCCAAATTGTGTATTTAACATAATGAACGTAAGGTAAACGTAATTACATTTACTAACACGCATATTCAGCACGAACCCTAAGAAGTGATAAACAGGAAGTTTTCTGGCTCAGCTTCGGTGTGGAACGAATGTCTCAATGAGAGACACAATCCTCAGTGTGTGTGTGCGCATGTATGTATGTGTATATGTGTGTGTGTGTGTGTGTGTGTGTGTGTGTGTGTGTGTGTGTGTGTGACTGTTCACTGCTGACAATCCTCTTAATTTCAGCAGAGCAGTCCAAACAGCACGTTGTCACCTATCAGTCCAACACACGCTGTGTTCTGGGAGAGGTGAGGGGGGGACATACACACACACACGCACACACTCATGGGGAGGGTGATATTTCTCTCCGGAGTCGGAGCCAAGAAGAGGGATTGGAGGAGCTCTGTGGTTATCAAACGAGACCAGTGACCACTGGGATTCCCACTGGGATGACATGAGGTGTGTGTGTGTGTGTGTGTGTGTGTGTGTGTGTGTGTGTGTGTGTGTGTTACCCCCCTCCTCCCTGTGGTGTGTGAAAGAGACATTGTAACGGCATGTTAAATGTGCAAAATAATGTTTGGATTTTTAGAATTCAGTATTATAGGTGGAGTTAATACACAAAAGTTCTTGCAACGTTGTTTTAAAAATCCATCTTGAAAATGTCAAGAGGCTTCATTGCAAAAAATCATCAGATGGATGTGAAGTCGTGAAGACCTCAGAGATATTATCTGTCTCCCACAAACAGTCAAAACTTCTTATCAGCACAGGCCCCATTCCAGCAGTCCAACGTTAGGTTATAAATCACGTCTCTCTCATTACTAATAAATAAAAGGCACAAAAGCCATTCGGAAGCCATCCAGAGATTCATAATAGTCTGCAGCACATTCTAGCAGTGTGTCTGCCTTCTGACCCCGTTCGATACGCTGAAGCTCATTTCCAGACACTTCCGGAAACTTGGAACAGTTGCTATTATTTCTCATTTTAAAACCAAAATATTTAATATGAATTCAACCTTTTCAAGCCAAACCTTTAGAGCTGATTCTGTTGTGTTTCTTGCAGTGTGGTGTTCATTGTGTGAGTCCAAAGTCTCATTGTTTTCACATTGCATTATGGGGGATTTATAGCATGTGTGCATGTCGCTGTCAGTGTGGCGGCCGTGCTAACGAGGTTGGCACCGACGTGTTTTAAGTGAAATCTGCCTATTGTCTGCCGGTATTACATGGACGCACACACGCACACGGCTGGGTGAGATTACCCCTCCTGTCTGTGTGTGTGTGTCCCCAGGAGACAGTGGACAATGAGTCTTTTCAAAACAAAAGCAAAAAGAGGCGCATCTCCACAATAGGCAACGTGTACTAGCAGTCTCGCCAGCCAGATTACCGCGCAGCGCTACCAGCGGCGGGGTAACTCTCTAATCCTGCCAGCATACCTCACCATTCATTCAACACAATTTGGCCTTTCTTGGTCTAATTAATTATCAGTGAATAAAGACGGAGTAAGAGCTTTATTGCGGCAAAACGCGAAATCCAGCTCTACCTTGTTTCCTAGTTTAGTTTATCAGCATGATACAGGACTGTCCATCGCGGGTGCCATTAGAGCCACGTATTATATATATATATATATATATATATATATAGCATGCACAAGGGAGGTTTGGCAATATGGATCCAGGTCCGGATGTAATTGTGTTTGTTAATTAACAGAAGTTCTGAGGAATGATGGATGAGTGGAGGATTTATTAGCAGATGACAATGGGATGGATGGATGGACATATGGACAGACGGACGGACAGATGGATAGTTGGATGGATGGATAAACTGAAAGGATAGATGAATACGTTTACTGATGGATAGATGGATGGACATATGGTTGGATGGATGGATGTATAGAATGATAGGCTCAGATAAACAAATGGAGGAAAAGGTGAAAATTAACTGATGGATGGTGTCACGACCTCCAGAGGGAAGGTTCCAAAATCAAAAGTTTATTACAAAAACTGAAAATCGCTCTCGGAAGAGGAAAACCCTACCAACAGAAAACAGAGCCTGAACAAAGCACAAAAAAAACAATAGCAAGACCTGGCCATGGTAAAAGGACATGGGTGCGCACGGATTTGCTCTCACGTGGGAAGACGAAGCGGCACAGGACAATATATACACACAGGGTAGGGGCACAGGTGGACAACAACAACAACATCAGGGGCCGGGAAGTCAATGGGACCGGCACACAGGGCGAAGGAGCAAGTTGCCTGAAACGAGAGGAAGGTTAACTTTCAAAATAAAACAAGAAATCACGAGACAACATAGACACGAGACAACCTGATTAAATTAACTTAACAAAGTTTTCTGTATATAACAGTTTATAGAATGACAGATTAAAAAAAACTGATGACAGACAATGGTTGATGGATGGATGATAAATGGACGAGTGATGGTTGATTAGATGGATGACGGATGATGGGTGGATTTATGGATTAGATGGATACATGGATTAAATGAGTGGATAGATTGATGCAGGTGATTGTTAAATGGACCCTGTTTGGTTGAGGGTTACCTCCCTCTCGTCTATCTCACCACCCTTTAACGTCTTGTTACTGGGTAATTTCCGATAACATAAAGAGAGTTATGGTCATAATATTTGATATTCATGTATGTGTGACGTTCGTTGTGTTTAGCTGAGTCACTATTAACTGTTAACTCTAAACACATGTCATGTCATTGTTGTGATGTGTTGATGTAGGTGAGTCCATGTTGGTGGTGAACGAGGGCTCCTCCGTCTGTCTGTGTGGGGGGGTCCTCGGGGCCTCAGACCCTGACAGCCCTGCCGACCGGCTGACCTTTCACCTGGAGACTCCTCCACTGCATGGCTTCCTGGAGAACACGCTGCCGACGCCCGGCTCTGAGAAGAGCAACGCGGGAGTTCGAGTTGGTCAGTGTGTGTGTCTGTGTGTGCGTGTGCGTGTGTGTGTTTGCTACACATCTGCCGTGACTTTGGATATCTCTCTCTTTCCCAGAATCCTTCAGGCTTGTTCACCTAACTGCAGGTTTCATTAACTACGTCCAATCTGAGAGCAAAGGGGTAGAGCCAAATGTTGACCAGCTCTCCATCAGTGTGAGTGACGGGCTGCACCACTCCGCCCACGTCCCCTTCTACATCATCATCAATCCGACCAACGATGAGACGCCATCCCTGCTGCTCGCCAACTTCACAGTACGTCCAAGACAAATTTATCTTACTCCGCGTGCGTTCAAAATCAAACAGAGAAGGTGGAGAGTAATTCCATTTGTCCCCCTCGCGCAGGTGAAGGAGGGCGGGGTGAGGGAGCTGACTCCGTCAATTCTGGACGGTTTTGACCTGGACGCCCCCCCGGACATCCTGACTTTCACGGTGGTGCAGCCTCCGGCTCACGGCAGCCTCATCAACGGCATCTACGGCACCGAGATGAACCGCTACAAGGAGATGGGGCCCGACCTCCTGCAGAGGAGCCTCCCCGTCACCTCCTTCACCCTACAGGAGCTCCGACAAGGTGAGAGGGACTCCAACAAGGTCGCTCACTACCACGGTTGTATGCACAAAACACTCGTACAATTTATAAAAACAGGTTTTGATTATTTAATTTTTTAGTACTCAAAACAAAACACAAATGGTTATTTCACAGCAAGGCACTTTTTCAAGATATAAAATCCCTTTATATGCATTTGTTTTGAATGCTATGGTTTAATTTTGCAGAGACATGGCCTACTGCTGGAATCAAAACAGCTTTCTTTTGTATATAACTTACTCGCATTTTTTTTCATTAATGTTTATATATCAGGGCCATAATGTGTAATATGTATAACGCGTAAGACACCCTTCGTTATCTTTGCTAAGCATTTTCCCTCATAATCCCATTTCAATGTTTATTTCAGCAGGGCTCTCAAACCTTCAAGTGGAAATAAAACCTGCTTCAAGCCAACAAACATGAATTTTCATTGTTCAGATTCACCAAAATGTGTCAGAATATAGAGCGGGACTAGCTTAAATGTACTGTTAGCATCAACGTTAGCATGTCAGGAACTGTAGAGACAAAACTCTAAACTTAAGTTTAGTCTTATGCTGCGTTCACACCAAAAGCAAAGCAAACACTCACGCGGGTTTACTCGCCTGACTAGTTGTAGTTAATTTGCCTTCATTCGCGTCCCGCTTTATTTGCGCCGCTGGAGAGGGTGCGAGGCCTGTCTCTGTGGATTGTCTCCGTAAAGACAGTTATCATTCCCGCTATGCACAATGGAAATAACCACTATTCTTACAGATGTTAGAGCCCCAAATGCCGTCGTGTTTGGGTTCATGAGATCATCAGCTCGGTGAATTTCACCGACTCCTTGGTGAATTCGGTGAATTTCACCGACTGCCGCTTCGCTACTTCAGCTAGCCAGCAGCCAGTTTGATGAGCCGTTGGCTCGGATCGGTGACAGAGTCTCTTGGTTAAACACCAACTAACTTACAGCTGCGAGTGGCAGTTTCATAAAGTATATTCATTCTTTGGTGATGACGAGCAGAGCATCAACGCTGATTGGCTTTCACAGGACAGCGCTAAGCGAACTTTCTCGTCATTCGCGCTGCCCGTTGAAAATTCACATCATACGCAACCATTCGCTTCGGTGCATTGACTTTAGAATCTACTCGTGGGAATAATTTGCTTCGCTTTTGGTGTCAACGCAGCATTACTCATCTCAAGGAATTACATACATCATGAATAGGCTGTTTTTGGGCTAATTAGTCCACCACATGATTTCAGACCAAAATATCTCTATATTACAATAAATATTTCACAAACTATTAAACAGATATTCATATTCCCCAGAAGATGAATAAGTCTGACTTCATTGAATTTGCATCTCATACCACCAGCAGGTTCATGTTTAAGTCCAATGTTTTTCCACCAGTGGTTTTGTTTTGTGTTTTACACACACGTAACTGCATTATTCCTCCTCAAATCCCATCACAATCCATCAAATAGCTGCCTGAGCCATTCTTCTATGATCTGTGTGTATGTAGGTGCGCTTAAACAAATATGTTTGTTACCGCATGTAAACAGAGAGACATGATGAAAAAACGAAGCCCCCCGTCCCCCCGTCCCCCCTCCTCGTCCCTCTGCAGGCATGAAGATCGTGTACATGCACGATGACACGGAAACCCTGAAGGACGCCGTGTCTCTGCGGCTGACAGATGGCGTCCACACAGTCCAGGGGACGGCTCGGGTCACCGTGCTGCCGGTCAACGACGAGAAGCCACGGCTGCTCAAGTACTCGCAAACACACACGCATGCACACAACACCGCACACACACAGAGACACACACGCACATACACAAAACACATATGCACAACACCCACACACACACAGAGCTGATGAGCTGATATGAGGATTTAGTGCTTAATGCCTGTTAATATGGTATTACTGGAAATATGTGACTGTGTGAGGTTTTAGGTCAGGGTCAGAAACACACAGCTTCAATTCATATACTTTAGTATTCATTTATTTAGTCAAGGAAATGACTATTTATAAGTACCTCACAGAACTCATAGAAATGAATAGAAGTAAAGGTAATCATTATGCAGAATGGCCCGTACAGAATAATCTATTCAATTCTTGGTTTTAAATGTGTTCACAATGTTAAATTTGGTGTCTGTAAATACTGCAGGCTAGTTTAATATATAATACATAATTATTTATCGTTTTGATAATATTTTTGATTAATTTTAGTAGTAATACTATATTTCCATCTGAGGGGAATGAAACATTCTGTTTTTTAAGATTATTTTTCGAGCATTGATAGACGCATTCACAAATTGTTGGTTTGGATCTAAAGATGACAATGATGCTAACCATTAAATATAAAATAACACCAGAATTATGCCTCTGTGGGGCGGGGAACAAATGCGCTACACTTTAATTTGTCGTTTCATGTTGAAGCACTTTTACGCAGTGGAAATGCAGAAGAGGGGATGAGGTCAGGCTACTCAACGTGGGACGGGTGGGGGGGGGCAGAAGGGGGCGTGACCTGTGTGTGTGTGCACATGTGGCGGAGTCTCTCTGCTTGAGTGGGTGTTCAGTCCTCCACCTCAAGGACCCACAATATTTTCATTCCAACGAGCGAGTGATTGGGAATTTGCATCCTTGACTGGGTTCCCTATGGTCCCCCCTGCTCCCTCCCCCCACACCCCCACGTCCTCGCTGTCCCCAGATCAGCCGTCGGTGTGCGTGGGTGCGCTGGCACAGGCCCGAGCTGGTACTGTAAAGGGCACCGAGGCAGAAGTAACGCTGGGACTTGGCAGATGCCTGCCTCCTTGTTTTCTGCTGCGTTCCTGCAGGACGGACGCGGCGGCTTCCTCTCCTGCGTGGATTTTAGTTCCGACTGAGGGGGCAGCCAGACGCTTTCTTATGTTCACCCGCCCCCCATCCCGCCCCACCCCCTAACACGACCACCCAACAACACCACCATCCTAGATCTACGTGATCCCGCTTGGGAAAATAACCCGCTCCCACACACGCTTCCTCCTGCTACTTTATGCGCTGTCATCACATCAAAAGTTGGACATTTAAACCCCTCATCCCTTGTTCTTCAAAGCTGGAGCAGAACACAATCAAGTCCAAAATGTTTTTTAACAAGTTTGACAGCTAAAAGTAATCGAAAAGTCGTCTCAGTTACAAAAATCCATTCATCAATCCATTGTCAAACCGCATATCCTGCACGCAGGGTCACGGGGGGGCTGGAGTCCATCCCAGCCAACTTCGGGCGATAGACGGGGTACATCCTGGACTGGTCGCCAGCCAATCGCAGGGCAGTTACAAAAATGCAGAATTATAATAATTGTGTCTTCTTCGTTTGTTCTTCTGTCTTCAGGAACGCGGGGCTGGAGGTGGACGCTGGCGAGCGGAGGGTGATTTCCAGTGTGGCCCTGGAGGCCCAGGACCGGGACACCCCTGCTAAACAGGTGCACTACTGTCTGAACGCCGCGCCACGCTTCGGCAGGCTGCAGCTCAAGGTGAGTAAAACAAGTTTGTGGGGAACTTTAGCGTTTTAGAGACATTTTGAAAAGCACTGCAACTAAACCAACGAAGGCAACAAAGCGGTAAAAGACAGAGCTTTACACCTCTGCTCCAGTTATATGCAATGAAATACTCATTTTGTCTTTGTCTTAATTAGTTGTATTTGTTTTCATACAAAATGAGCTTTAGACACAGAACTGAAGACTTGGTGACTGTACATATACATTTTATGTAGTCTTGATTTGGGTGTTTACGATGGTCATTTACATATGAAAGGATGAAAGGAAGTAAATTGTAGCAAACATAGTCAACTTTAATCAAATTAAATCAACTTTGGAAAGCCACTAGCCAGAGTGGCTGGTGAGCATACATGTTAATGTTAAGCCATGTATATGTCATATATAACTTCTGTTTACTAGTTGTGAAAAATACAAATGACAAGACCTCAAAACGACATTCTACAAACCAAAGGGTGACGTCACAATGACTACGTCCACTTTTCATGTAGATTTTAAGAGATCAAACCAGACAACAGGATGTAAAGAGTTACATTGCATCATTAATGTAGCAGTAATATTATTCCAGAAACATCACGTATAAGAGTTGAACACCGGCAGGAACTTTTACTACTTTGTGAATACGTTTAATTCAAGCCGATAATGCTTACATACTTGACAAAAATAAAGGAGCTTTATACTTCATCCAACAATGAAATTAGTTTTTTACAGAGAAATCCTGGGCCTTAAAAAAATAAGAGAATCTGTATATACAGGTGTTTTTAAAGATTTCAAACAATGGTTTGGAGATGAGAGCCAAAGACGGAGGAAGGTTGACAGGATGGAGATTATTTGTATCTTATCTTTTATTGTAAACAGTCGATGTACTTGTGTGAAGACCCAGATAGTAGAGTGCAATTGTCCACTGAGACAGGCTCGTGCTGCACAGAGTGACCGATGAACGTTGTGAATGCAGACGGAGGCGGGCTGGACCGAGCTGTCAGCCGCACAAAACTTCACTCAGGACGACGTGGAGATGAACCGCCTGTGGTACGCTCACACTGGAGCCGCCGCGGATGCCCCCGGGTTCAAAGGTCACGACAGCTTCCGCTTCACCCTCAGTGACCTGGACAACGAGAGTCCCCCGCAAAGTTTCTTCATCTCCATCCACACTGTGCGGAAAGGTCAGAGGTTTCGCTTTAAAGTTCCTTTTTCCAAAGGTCCCTCCTGATCTCGAATCAGCAGGAAAGCATTCCACCTCCTTCAGGTCCATTTAGCAAGGTGGATAAACGGTTCTTAGTGTTCACAAAATGAAACAGGTGCATGACAAGTCAGTGAAGTCTCACACACACACACAATCTCCACACCTTCTCACACTTGAGCCCCTCTGCGGTCCCTCTGGCCGGTCCTGGTTCATCTATTATTGAGCGACCCCCCCCCCCCAACCTTCCTCCAGCTCACTGTGCCAGCTTTGCCAGTCGGGTGAACACGGGGCGCCGAGGCCCCGGCCCTTCTGGCTGCGGGCCCTCGGATCCTGGAGGAGCGGAGGTGACAAACGGCCGGCCTCCTCAGCCGGTGAATAATTAACGGAGGGGAGGTGGAGCAGCTGTGGAGGGGCGCTGGCTGGTGTCCTCTGGGTGCTCCACCTCTTCTTCCTCATGCAAGAACAACATTCCTAAAAACTGCCACATGGAGGCCTTGTTATCTTTTATTGTGTTAGGAGTTTGAATTAATCCTCTTTGTAGAAACATTTCCACATTCACACAGTTACGTGTGATACTGATACGTCTTCTGTGCTTTTATCATCTTTACTAAGCTGAAATTTTCATGAAATCTATTTTCAGAATTTTAGAATACAATAAGCTTCGTTTTTGACTTAAAATACATTTCAATAAATATATTTATTTATAAAAATAGGACCATATTGATTTATTCGTAATTTAATCTCAATCCCCTATAGAAACCATATATTTCACTCCCCATGCAGCGTTCTGACCGTTTCCTTCTGGCCGTCTCCAGGTGACTTAGTGCTGCTGAGCAAGGCAGTGCGTCTGATGGAGGGGCAGCGCGTCGTCCTCAACACCGACATCCTGCTGGCGTCGGACTCGGCCGGGCGTCCGCGGGAGCTGGTCTACGCCGTGTCGGTGCCGCCGCGGCACGGCCTCGTCCACGCTGTCCAGCAGCCGGGCGTCCCGCTGACCGCCTTCACGCAGCTGGACGTCGCCGCCCACCGGGTGGCTTACACGCACGACAACAGCCACCACGCAGAGGCTGACTCCTTCAGGTGACAATTCCCTCAATCCCGATACACGAGATCAGTCAGGCCAGAACCCTGTGGACTATTCGGATTGAAAGTCAAATAAAAACATTTGATGACGCGCATGTAGCAAATAAAGCTAACTGGTCCTGGATGTCGGGGTGGAACAGCTGTTTGACTCTCTGTAAAGAGAAGGCATTTTGCAGCACAGCTTGAAGAAGAATAAATGGCTAAATGATCAGCGTACATATTGTCAGAGGAGGAGGTATCTGTTGAAAACAGCATCACATACCGCGAAAGAGAAACTGGGCAGCGAGACGAGAGAGAGAGAGAGCATGGGGGGACGAGAGGCTTTCTCTGCTGCATGTTTATCGGCTTTTCCAGCCAATTTGGCAGCAGCAGTGTTTTTTTTTTTTTAAAGAGCGGAGGGGGGAGAAGGGGGGAGAGGGGGGGAGAGGGGGGGCAATGTGACCTGGCGTGTGTGGAGACCCCGGGTTTGTCACCCAGACCTCTGCCGCCCCGACCGGCTGCTTTGTCTGGCTCTGCAAGAGTCGGTCAGATCACAGCCAAGACTCGCAGACTGAGGGACTGGGGACAGTGAGATGGGGAGACGAGAGAGAGGGACAGAAAGAAAGAAAGACGAATGGACAGACGCAAGGAGAGACGGACCAGCGGAAAGACAGAACAGTCTCAGGCCAGAGGATGCTGTGGTTTCTTTGACTGAGGTGTGGCAGAATCGAAAGAAGACACACCAGTGCATCATACATGTGCGTGTGTTTGATGCCGTGACAGCAGATGATGAATGAGCATTACTAGGAGAATAACAACAGGCGTTGGCACGACAACGCCGGCCGGAGCTCCGACCACAGACGGCCATCCCTGGGCAAATATGGCCGACATCAGAGCCAGATGTTACGGCAGGACCTGCCTCTGTGTGTGTGTGTGTGTGTGTGTGTGTGTGTGTGTGTGTGTGTGGTGGCCAGTGTGCCGAGGCCCGGGGCAGTTAGTCAGCTGCAGGGCTGAGAGGCAGATTGTGTTGGCAGAGGGCTAAGAGGAGGACAAAACACACACACACACACACGTGGTGACAATTGACAGTGTAGTGGAGCTGAAAAATGAGCCGTGTGTGTCTACAAACGAAAACAGTCCTTTATGTGAGTGATTGATAACTGGAGTTATCTGGAGTCAAGAGTTTCATGAAATTAATTACTGACAATATTTTAGAATCAAACTGCACAATTAAAAAAATGTAGCATTTATCACACATTTTGAAATGTGTTTTGTAGGAGAAATAAATAAAAAAGCTACTTTGTTCATTTAATATTTAACTCTCATAATCAAGTGACAAATGAAGTTAACAAAGAACAATTCAAATCTGTGCAGAAGTGGAGATGACCCCACTTTTAATGTTCCAAAAACACCATCCCATATCCCATAATGCAACGCAATAGTTGCAGGTCCTCAAACTCCACACGCCTCCAGTTTGTAAAATAAAGCAAACAATCAGGATATTTCTTGTCTGTATCTCTTTTTTTTTCGTGTCATCTTTCTAATAAAGATAAAAAATGCCCCAAAAAAGAAAAGGGAAAGAGAGAAATGCCAAAAGCTCAAACACACAATGGAATAAAATGTATATATATTTTCTAGAACGTTATTATTTTGTGGGCTCACACATAAAAAATAGCTGTGTAAATACAAAATGAAAACAATCTTTGATTCTGGGGAAAGTCTATTCTAGTTTTCAATCGATATAAACTACTTATATTTGGTATTTACGTTTAAGTATAAACCTGAACAGTCATGACAGTTACAAAGTCACTATCACCTATAGAGTATATGAAGCATTAGAGGACTTTGTCCATGCATTTATCTTCAGTAGACTATTGTGTAAAAAGTAAACCAGAAAGCTACAGTTGATCCAGGACGCTGCAGCTCGAGTCCCCACTAGGACGTCACTCCAGTTCTCAGGTCTTTGCTCTGGCTTCCTGCCTAACAAAGGTCCTTAATGAGGCCCTTACATGCTCATAATATGAGATTAGTAGTTGGTGTGATCTCCAATCTGCTTCCAACCAAACTGTCTTTGTCTTCACAGTTTTGACGTCACCAACGGCGACTCGTCCCGCAGCGGGACCCTTCACTTCACCATCGAACGGGGCGACCGCATCCCGCCGACCCTGCACCACAACACGGGCCTCCGGCTGCAGGACGGGGCCACGGAGACCATCACCTCGGACCACCTGCAGCTCACCGACCCCGACACCGCCCCCGCCAACCTGAGCTACGTCATTACACAGCTGCCACGCCACGGCCGACTGCTGCTGAGAGGAGTCCTGATGTCCCCGCCGCTGACGTTCGCCCAGACCGACGTGGACGAGCGGAACCTGGCTTACCGACACGACCCGGGCAGCCCGGCGGACATTGACAGGTTCTACTTCCTGCCGGCCGACAGGAACAACAGAGGGTACCTCGAGTTTGGACAGCTGAGAAAAGAGCCCGCTGTCTTTAACATACAGGTGAAAAGAACAAAACATCTCACGTCCTCATTTCCAATTAGACTCAGATGGTGTGGAGAGTACTTCTAAGGTCTTTTCCTTAATAGAAATACTAATGCTACTCCCTAAAAAATACTTTCATTTAGTTTCATTTCATTTTATTTTTTTTATTTATTATTATACATTTATTTATCTTATTTTTTATTTTAATTTCATATATTTTATGTTATATTATATCATATCATATCAAATTATAATATTGGATAATTAGTATTGTTTAAATTTATTTAGTCGTTAAAGATGGAGCTTATATTAATCTGTACTGCTATATAGAAAAATCTGCAAAGTGAACAAAGGTATTGGAAGAATGTTTTGAAGTTAAAAGAACAACTTTTCCCTCTGACACGTGGATCAGAAGTACACACAGCAGTACTACTAAAGTACACAGAACCTCGTAGTCGGTGTTAGTGAGCAGTCTCAACTCTCAGGTGTAAAGACGGCAGTACACAGATAAATATTTGAAGCTGAGAGCAGCAGGTGAGCCAAGAGCCCCCCAGCCCCCAACCCCATCACATGCTACCGACTACTCTGAGATGGACACACACACACACACACACACACACACTGAGGCAGCCAGGTGGCTAACATGCTGGCCAAACGCACTGTCCTGAGCCTCTGAGGGACTGGACATTTGTGATTGGACCGTGTGTGTGTGTGTGTGTGTGTGTGTGTGTGTGTGTGTGTGTGTGTGATATGCAGTAGTATTTTAAGAGTATTTTAAGACTTCATGAATATTTGACACACACACACACACACACACAAACACACACACACACACACACAGGTCATAACTCTAAAGACTCAAGCGTTCACATAAACAGCATTACATTTTCACGTGGAAGTAAAGTTAAAGACAAAGATCAAAATGAAAAGTCGTATTGTTTGAGTCACAGATGGATGAATTAGCAAAAATTGAATGTGATTATTCATCTAAATATACTTTTAATGTAGTTACTTGTCATACAAAGTATTTATGAAACATGATGTTATGGATGAAACTCCTCAACTGTTTCTACGAGTACGGCCGAAACGACTAAAGCTGCTGAATCAGTTAGAGAAACTAAAGAAAGTTATTTGGCAACAATCTTTGACGGATGATGTCATCTTCTACGTAAAACATATTTCACGCTCCCGTCTTCATGATTGTCAAGATCAGATCTACTGATTTTAATTTATTCATATTTGTTTAATGAAGTACATTTCTCTGATTATACTTTTCAATGAAATACTTTTTAACAAAATATTTTCACAGTATGCTATTTGTACCTTTAATTAAATAGAGGAACTGAGTACTTCTTCCACCGCTGTAAATGACACTGCATGTCATTTAGCTGATGCTTTTATCCAAAGTGCATTTCAACCATTAAATAAGGTAAAGCATTGTGTCTTTACAGTCCAAGAATATTTGGCAATTTTTTCCTTAAAACCTGTGAAATCGGACAAAGTATATCAATCCAAGATGTAATGAAAGAGGACGGAAACGTAGACACTCCATTTATCTGTAGAGCTGATTTTCTCTCGATACAAAGCTGATCGTTACACAGGACAGCAGTGACCCCTAGTGGCGGAAACACGGAACTGAGGGAACGTTTGTTTGGTCATTCTCACTTTTTGTGTGTTCACTTTTGTGTGTCATTCTTCCTAACGTCTCCTGCTGTGGATCAGGTGGATCGCGTGGACAGGTTACCCCCCAGTCTGACCACCAGGCGGAGCCCCAGCACGGTGGTGGAGCTTGCGAGTGGGCGCTACGGCATCTTCATCACTTCCAAACACCTGCAGGCCTCCGACCCCGACAGCCCCGTGGAGGAGCTGGAGTTCTCCATCGCCAGGCCGCCACACTTCGGCTACCTGGAGAACGGCCTCACGGGTGGGCCGTCTGTCGAAAGCTCATGTCCAGCAATGTCTTCGATGGAGATGCTGTGTGTTCAGTCGGATGAAAACGTCCTGTCTCAACAGGAGCTTACATCAAAGGTCGCTTCACCCAGCGGGACGTGGACCAGCGCGCTGTGGTGTTCGTCCTCCCGGCCGACATGGAGGTGACGGCCGACAGCTTCCTGTTCCGCCTCACCGACCCGGCGGGAAACACCATGCTGCCCGAAATGTAGGTTTACAGAAGTACAAGGAACCGCACTGATGCTCGGTACCCGACCTGTGTCGACTGGAGTTGGTCCAGCGAACGTCGACAATGACGGGAAATTATGTTCGTGTTGTAGTTTTAAATAAACAAACATGAAAGGATGTAGACTGGGGAGGTTTGTAATCTTACATCTTTAAAGTACATGAAGGACTGTCCCGCAGACTGGAGCTGTCGTGGTCGCAGGTGGAGCTGTCTGCGACCTGCTACAGAACCTGCGAGACCTCGGGGACTCTTCAGATCCAGATCCAACGCAGCGGGAATAGCGCCGACCCGGCATACGTCGCCATCCAGGTACGTGTGTGGCGCCCTTCCCCTTCCCCCACCCCCTCCGCGGCCTGTGGGCTGCGAGGGGATAATATTATCATCACTATGCTGATGAGTGCGTTCGTTTTGGCGCAGGTGGAGGAGGGCTCGGCCAAACCTGGCAGCGACTTCACTCACAGCACAGCCGGTCTCATCCAGTTCGACCCAGGTGAGACGCTCCTGGACTCTGTTCAGGTTCCCTCTCTTCTTACACCTCTCTGCGGGTTGAATCATCGCTGCAAAAATCAGTCTCTGAAGAAAAATAGACACCGTCCAATCAGACGGCTCCAGGAGGATGTGATCGTTGGACGAGTCATTGTGGGATGTCAGCAAACGTCTGGTTACTCATGCGATCTCAAAATGACTGTCAGGACTTTCTTCTGTTTCCCATCCCGTCTCTTCTTCAGGAGTCAGTGTGAAAACTTGGAACATTTACTTGATGGATGACGGTCTGGAGGAAAACCACGAGACCTTCACTGTCACCCTGAAAAAACCCCAAAACGCCGTCCTGGGACAGAGGACCTCTGCTAGTGTGGAAATCATCGACCCCAGAGGAGGTAAAGCGTTATCAGGGTCAGGAATTGGTTTGATTTGGTTTTACGGGAGTTTTTAGAAAGATGAATTGGAAATACAAGGATAAAAGATTGCCCTCGCTGCTGTCTCCTAGGACGGTGCGACCCAGACGACCTGATGGTCGAGGATAGAACACAACGCCCACCTCTCCCTCCTCCTCCTCCTCCTCCCCCCACGTACCCTCCCAGACCGAAGGAGGAGGACGTCATCGCCGACATTGAGGCAGAGCTGCTGTGGGAGAACCGGCCTCATCCTCCCCGAGGCGATGTCCCGAACCGCCGGCACTACCCGGACTACGGAGAGGGGGACCCGCAGGACCAGGCGGCCCCCGGCGACCACAGCCACGACAGGCAGCTGCAAGGGGCGGGCCCCGGGGGCACCGGGGACAAGGTCCCACATGGAGGACTGAAAGTGAGAAAAAAATAAGTTGTTTTTGTGGGAAAGCTGTTCATGCTGACTTGTAGAAATATGCTTCATTTATTTGATCTGTGTTCAGATCCATCCGGCCGGAGAGAGGACGACTGAGGAGAAGGTCTGGACGGTAAGACTCAGCTTACAGTTTGTCCACAGTTAAAACACTCATACACGCGTTAACATCCGCCCGGTTCTCCTCAGTTTCATAGTCTGACTCCACTCTCGGTGGAGGAGCTGCAGCCGAGTGACGCCGGGGGGAGCTGGTCGCCTCGCAGTCGCCCCCCGCAGGACCTCCGGGTCGCAGAGCCTCCTCAGATGGATCCTCCGGAGCCAGGGCGCCAACCGGAGCCCCGCCAGCGCAAGGTGTGAACAACACCTATTTTGCATTGTAAAGGAGTGTTTTCCCCTCCGGTACAAGTTGTATCAGCCAGGCTCATGGTTCAAAGTGTTGTAACAAGTGTCTTCATTACTTCTGAGACGGGGAAGGCGATCAGCAGCTCCTGTGCCGACGGCTGGACTCACTACAGGAGACGCTGCTACATCGTGGGCTCGTCGGTGGCCAGCTGGGCCAGTGCCCACAGGAGCTGCTCTCTGCTGTAAATAACACTAACAAGTGTGCACGTTTTGAGGTTCAACACAACACTGTTTTTCCGCTAATTGTCTTATTCTGACTGTGTGAGGATTTATAATATGAACAGTTTTTATGTAAAATGGCTGAAAGCAATACGCTGTACGGACGCTTGTTTTACTGTCAAACTAAGATGTTAGAGCTCCTCCCATAATCTCTCTCCTTTGGATCTCTTTTTGGTGTCCACCTCCTCCTGAGAAAGATATCTGAGTCCAAAGCTGCTAAATGCTCCACTGTGTTTTCTTGCTAGTGTCAAATTACATCTTTACGTTTACTGTTAAAATAACTGGAGCGTCAGATCCTTCCCTTAAAGTCAATATAGTCATTTAGAGTAAGACTACTGACTATAGCGGTTTTAAATCATTAGAATACTACAATGATATAATGTCCAATCAATACCAGAATCTCATATCCAATATTTTGTTTGCATATGACTTAGCATAAGTTTGTCTTGCTGTGTTGGGAAGGAATTTGCCCCCTTAGAGACACTTTTTTGTGGTACAAAATAAAACAGGATGTGAACCCAAACCGTGACAGCTATACATCCATCTGTAGACACAATCATACAAATGTTCGATGTTGATTCGTCGTGTGGGAAATTAGATGTGTTATAATGCTTCTTGAGTTAAGGTGATGCATCAAGGTACGAGTTATTTTATCATCGGAGCTGTTGATGTGTGTCTGACCCTTAACATTGTGTGTCAGGTTTAACAGCAGCCTGACCAGCGTGCGGTCCAGAAGAGACATGAGCTGGCTGTGGAAGTTTGCAGGGAGGAAGCCATTTTGGATCGGTGAGGAGCTGTTGTTTTTTTTTTTATCAGAGCACGCTGTCAGATCCAAATATCTGATTGTTTTCCAATTTTAAAACGATGGGCCTCGTGCAAGAATCCTTGCAGGAACAGATTAGTTCTCAAAGGAATAATATGAAGCATTTATGGCTGCTGCTTGTAACAAAACACTCAAGTATCGTCAAACCTGCGACTCGCGACTGAGATTGAAAATGACTCTACTTTGCTCTTGATTTATTCCCTAATTAAACATTATAAACATGAGTTTATGGTCTCATCCTCTAGTTCCAATTCTTCTTCAACACATTTTCATTTAGTAATTCATGGTCCATTTTGAGTCAAATAGACCATAAAGCAGTGCATGCTTTAGGGCAGGACTACTGTGATTGACGGGTTGCTTCTGCAACCAGAGCCATTTACGGTCTCCACGTCACTCCTCCACATTCCACATATGGTAACTTCTGTTCATCTGTCCTGAAAAGAATGGCCTTGTTCCAAGATGGCCTGTTTAGGAAGATTTAGGCTGAGAGAATCATAGTGCTGCATGTTTCTCAGGTCCGTCCGGGGGTCCCGGTCGCCGGATGTGGGCTGACGGTCGGGCCCCGTCCTTCTCCAGGTGGGGGGGGTCTGAGTCCGGAGTCGGCTCGGACTGCGTGCTGGTTGAAAACCCCCGAAGCTGGATCTCCACAGGCTGCTCCCCCGAAGCGCTACACACATTTGTCTGTTCATCACCGGCTCACACTCACTGACAGACATAATTACTGCTACGGGGATAAAAAACCTCGGTTAACGTGTTAAAGTCACCATTATTATACACAATGACGCTGCTCTGTACATTAGTTCTTTTTTTGGTCTCAATAAAGAGCTCTGCACAAACCGATGTATGGGTCTTTGAATTAGAATGTGTTATTTGGACAGAAGAAACATTTAATTTGAATGTATTTTGAATAAAAAAAGCGAGTGGGAAGCTCCAGGCCCCTGCAGTCTGGGGCTTCAGGGGTCTGCGGGGCTCCCATCCCTAGGGGTGAATACTAATGTAACATGGATGCTGTATAAATGGGGGGCACAAAGTCAACCAGAAGCAGCGTCTGACCACAGCGTATTTACTCAGCGTTTTTTCTACTTGTTTTGACTGCTCCAAAGGCTTAATATTAAGTTTTAACTCTAAAAAGCAGAATACCACCGCTAATTCTACTTTAGAACCGTGGGGGTCCTGTGTTGACATTTGACCATCAAGTGAAGAGTGAAAGACAGGCATTTGAGACTTATTTCACGTACACAGTGGTTGCTGTACAGTTGAGTTTATTTCAAGTTCAAGTGTATACATTACGTGACCATGTGAAGATCCAAAGAGGATTTCTCTGATGGTTATGTGCCTGTATAAGAGCAAACAGGCCAATGCACCACATCGGCAAGAGACAACAATATCAAAACGAGAAAAATTACCAGCAAAATGTGAATAATAAATAACCAAATGGTCTAAAAAATAATATACACACATCCTTAGATAGAGCTGTGGGATCATCATTTCACCCTGCATTCAAATGTCCATGCTCTTTTATAAGGTGTGTTTAAAGTTCCATCACAGTGAATCACTTTCTGCCACACCTATTTCCCAAAAGGTTCATCTCATGCGTAACGATTCATGCACTCTTAAGTAAAGAAAAAGAGAGAGTTTGGCAAATGTCAGCAAGAGGCAACAATACAAACAAAAACACCTATGCTCTCTGAACGGTAGATAATAAATGTTAATAAAAGATTAGAGATCATAAAAAGAATTTTAAAAACAACAGCACATCTATATTGAGCTACAGGTTTCCATTTAACCCTGCATGATTATCAAATGCCCGCACAGAAATCTGACAAAATTTCTTTTACTTCAGTTTTCTAATTCTGCAGAAACTGCTGGTGTTCTTTGATGATCTCCACATATCTGTTGTTGGTCTCGTTGTCTTCCTTGTGCAGTGACGTTACTGTTCCATTCACCAAGGTGGTGATCGGGATACTTTTTTTCAGAAAACTCGTAAGTATTTCTTCTTCAATCTGCTCAAATCTCAAAGACCAGCAAGGCAATGTCCAGAACACCCACATAGTCATACACATTATATGCCTTTCTGTAGTAGACCCATCAGCAGCAGGTTGGATTGGATTTATGACGTGTGTTTAAAGTTCCATCAGAGCCATCTTTCTGCCACACCTATTTCCCAAAATGTTCATCTCACGCGTCAGCTTTTTGTTCAAAGGTGAACTGTGTTAATGATTCATGCACCCCAAGTAAATACAAAGATTGTTTGGCAAATACCAGTGAAAGACAACAATAAAAAAAAAAGTTCTTTGGAAGGTAGATAATAACTGATAACAGTTCATGTCTTTGCACTTCTGACGCACTGGTTTTACCATCAGCCGCCCTAGTTTTCATACTGGATATCGTATGCAAGGGGTCCATTAATGGCAAAACCAAGGTAGAAAGACACCTTTTCTGTGCTTGATCCACTTCTTATAGCGCCAATTAAAGCTGGACGCACAGGGATTTTTCCTTTGCCATAATTGGCAAACAGCTCTCCTTGTTCAGTTGTTCCACTGACTCGTTGAAGTCTCTTGATGATGGCTTTCTTTCTAAATATATCTCCATTTCGCCAAAGTTCAGCCAGGGTGTCACGACGCATCTCTTTAAAATTCTCATCTAGTTGGCGTTTAGAAACAAGCCTCTTGAGTCCTTCACCTTTCCCGAGGTAGAGGATGGCAATCGTGTTTCTTATTCGAAATGATAAGGTCATGCGCTTTGATTTCCGAATAGCTCTGACATATGTCCCGATTTCTGTGTCTTCCTGCCCAGGGCGTGGCCAGAGTAACAGCAGAGCCAGGTAGTACGGATCAGGGGAGGGGTACCGGAGTCCTACCTCTTGGAGAGTTTGCAAAAGTAGAGCAGAGAGGGAGCTGTGACTTTCTACATGTTTAGATTTGGATTTCAAAAGGTAAAGAACTATGTTTGACATAATGTAATTGATTGTTTCCTTTGTCTTTTTCTTTTGGTTGATGAATTGTTGTTGTAGCAAGAATCCATAGCATTCTGTGATCTTCTCAATCTCAATGGCAGGTTTGTCCAAATGCTGAAGAATTCCTGCAAATGTATCTGCATAATTCTCTTCAAGAAACCATCTTCGCTCTTCAATATTGATCTCCAAATTGAGTCGTGGGTTGTGTTCTTGTTCTTCTTTTCTTTCATTTGAAGTTGTGCAAAAGAGAGTTACATACTTTTTAAAAAGCACACTAACTTTTGCGCGGAAATCTGATTCAGAAGTGATTTTTTTAATATTTGTAAAGTAAAAGAAAAGAAATTCAAAGATTTCTTTTACTTCAGTTTTCAAACTCTGCAGAAACTGCTGGTGTTCTTTGATGATCTCCACATATCTGTTGTTGATCTCGTTGTCCTCTTTGTACACGATGGTGATCGAGATAGTTTTTTTAAGAAAACTCTGCAAGTATTTCTTCTTCATTGGATCACTTTCTTCAAAGAACGGCAATCTGCTCAATATCTCAAAGACCAGCAAGGCAACGTCCAGAACACGCACATAGCCACACACATTATATGACTTTCTGGGGTAATCTTCTGACACATCATCAGCAGCTTCTCTCTCTGGTTCATCCTCTTCATTTGCCAGCTCTTGAGCCCTTTTAAATGCTGCAATAGCATTTTCTGCAATTTGAATGTTTGTTTTCAAGTCTTCTTGATTGCGGGATGTCTCTTGCTTTTCTCTGAAGTTGTTAGATTTTAAATTGCTTTTGTGAATTTGGCCGATAGTGTCAAATGTGTATGGGTTTTGTTTGATATTCTTGGCCTTTTCCGCCCATTGCAGAGCCTCTGGGAAGTCACTCTCCATGATACACAAATATCTCGCCAGTGCCTGAGGAATAGATGCACTTGTCACAAACCTGGATGATGCTTTAACAAAGATATCCTGGACAGTTTGTCGCCCATGATCTTTGTGGATTTTCCCTATGAGAGAAGAAAATTGTTCTCTCTCATCTCCACCTTTCTTGCGCTGCCTTTCAATCAGCATTTGATGAATGGAGCCCATGAATCTGTGTTTGACAACTCCAACACTGAAGAACAGATCACAATGAAGAATTTCCATAGTGATCTCACTTACTTTTAAAAAGTAGCTTTTCTCCAACTCTTCTAGACATGCAGATGCTATGGAGTGATGAAGGATTCGGATTCCTTTGTATCTTCCCAAGTCTTCAACTGTGTCTACGATGAGAAAGTTTGAATATGGCTCCATTCTGCCCATTATGCTGTCCAGCTTCCATTCTACCATTTTCATCCCCAGAAAATCTTGACAGAGGGAGAGAGAGATTTCAGATCCTGCCAAGTAGGTGTTAAGCAGCACTAAGAAGGCAAAAAGTCGGGCTTCTTTCGAGCTGCAATCAAAATTCTCCAGCATGTTATGAGCAAGATCCTTGATGTATTTCTTGTCAAAATTGCTCTTCATGATCATGAAGCTATAGAAGTTTTCAGGTGTTTCATGAGTTTCTTTAAGCTCTCTGAGCTTCTTTTCAAACTCTTCCTGTTCTTCTTGTGTCAGTGAAGCAGTTATGTACTGACTTTGTCCTGTGTTGTCCCGTTGGTATTGTTCCTTTGGGTTGTGGGAACGAACACAGTTAAGGATGATGACTCTGCCGCTTGGTGTGTCACCCACATTCATGTTTAATGCATACTCTATGCAGTTCACTAGTTCGTGAGGATTCTCGGAATCTTTTGAATCATCGACTAACAGCAAAACTGAAAATGGTTTTTCACTTTCAAGTTTCATGAGCGTACTGACTTGACGGGCAACTTCTTTCTTTGGCAGTGTATTGTCTTTCAGCACGGCACACCGGACCTCCTGACGGAGATCCCACATCACATGCATTGCTAAAGTGGTCCCTCCACAGCCTGGATGATGAAACAGATTGAGTAGCGAACACATGTTTTTGGAATCCCTCAACTGAGACCTAATGATCTTCTTCACATTTTCGTACTTGTCCCGCTTAACAAATGGCCTCGCTTTGTCTTTGTAACAGAAGTAGAAGTTCCACCAATTGACTTTTCCTCCTTTGTAGAATTCCTCCTCAACTCTGAGTCGATGGCCATAAAACTCTGTACTTTTCTCATCCATTGTGTTTTCACACTGATTCAGACACAAAATATCCAGAGCTGTCAACAAGTCTTCCTCCTTCTGCTTTAGAACAACACAACTAGAACCATAGGAGGGAAGCAACCGTTCAGATGACTGATTGAATGGTCCCAGTGCCATTACTGTTCCATTGACCTCACCGAGGGTCAGCTCATATATCGATCGGAGGTCGATGTCAGAGTCACACTTCTCTTGGACAAGCTCCCGCCATTTCTCATACATGGTCTGAGATTCACAAATATTGATGATGCTTTCCTCGTTCGTGTGTTTTATGAAAGACTTGTAGATGTCAAAGATTGGATCTTTCTCAGTGTCAACAGGTGAAAGTAAAAGGAAAATGATGAGACTTTCTCCACGTGAAATAACTTCAGGGTTGCAAATGAATGACACCAATTCCTCTACATCTTTGCAAGATTTCCTCAACCAGTTCTTGTAGTCTAACTGCTTGTTTGAGTCACCGTCTAAGTCATGTCTGCCATTGCAAAAGACCCAGCTGGTTTGCTTGTGGAGGTTAAGACTCTTTATCACTGTGTCGGTTGGTCCTTTGTACTGCGATGGTGTATGCAGATTGGCCACCCTTGACTCTCGGTAAGAGTGACACAATCCACCCGGATCAACGGAGTGAGGGTCAAAGTCCAACACACAAAACGGTTTCAGCCTTTTCAAAAATTGAAAATACTGCACTTGATCTGGACGGCTTTTGTTGACAACAACAATAAAATGGGCATAGTTGTCCAGTGAGTTCCCCCCGCAAGTTAACAAGTCTTTAAGTTTGTCACCCTGGTTAGCTTCTTTCTTCAAAAGGCTTTTTGAAAGACTCTCCTGTTCCACTGGATCTGTATGAACAGTAAAATAAATGCATTTTATTAGTGAAAGCAGAAACTCAATAAACATCTAAGGTCAAGACTGGTTTTGTTATTGTGACCAAATCCAATGAAAAAAGTAAAACCACTGTGCATTCTACTGTGGCCACTGTAACCTGTCACAGCACAGACCCGAGTGATTAAGACGCAAGTCTTTGACATCACTTCATGTGCGTTAAGTTAAATTTGAATGAAGTCACCGAAATGTCCTAAAAAATCTGATCAATATAGTTCTTTATCAAAATGACAGAAATAAATTAGTTTTTATCGGGAGTCATCGACATTTGGTGCCGTAGTTACTATTTGTATGTGTACGGAGTGAGTGAAAATAAAATGCAGTGTGTGTTCATGGTGATGAAGAAACATGTTAAACAGTGCCGTCAACACTGACTCGTGAATGTGCTTTCAATAGATGTTGGACAAGAAGTAAATATTGTTTTTTTAGTTCATCGTTTCAGTGGTTTTGGTTGTTGTTGACACTAGGATTTAACTAAATGGGTTAGGATGTGTCAACAAGTACAGAAAACAAGTTGAATAAGTATTGGCATTGGTTATCTTACCCGTTTTCTTTTCCAGCTGAAGAAGAAGTTCTCGCTGGTTGATATCTCGAAGAATGTCTTTTGTAACCTGTAAAGCCTCTTTGCTTCCGTAGTGGCGAGTCAGTAACGTAGCGGTGTCCATGGTGTCCTTGTCTTCCAGTTTGCTTTGAGGAATAGGTTTTTGCATTGATTTAGTGTAACCTTTTAAGTGAAAATGAAAAAGTTTTAGGTCATCTTTTGAAAGGCTGGCTAGAGTTTCCTGGATCTCTTCAGTGATCTTTGGTTTATCTGATGGGACTGTGCTCTGCAAGAAAAAACAGAAGAAAAACAGTGTAAACTTTACAAATATCACTTGTTAAAAGAGTTTTTCTTTGGGTGTACTAACTGAAAGGTCTTTATTTCTATTACAAAACAAAGATTTTACCACAATAGGTGTTTTTCTTCTGGCCCCCAAGTCCTGTTGCTTTGGCTGTTGAATTTCCTCCATCTCTGAAAGGGTCTGGAATGGTGGCTGAGCCTTTACAGATTCCTTTTCCACCATTTTGTCTGTTTGTGATTCAGTTTTGCAATATGAATCTGGTTGTGTGATTGCCATGTGTTTTGGCGATTCTTTTTGCTCTGTGCTGGTGTGAGGGATTGGTTGCATTGCTGGCTCCGGTTTCTTGTCCAGCTTACTGAGTTCTGCCAGAATCTTCACAGCAGGACCACTCTTCAAACCCAGATCCAGAAAATCCTGCTTTTTGAAGCAAACAAGGCAATCTCCTGACACACCTTCCTCTTGAAGTCGTTCTGCATATTTGCTATATAATTTAACATGCTGCAGCAACCACTGGTTTACTTGCTCCTTTGTCCAGTTTCTCACATATGCAGGGATCTGTGATTGATGTTGTGATCCTTCTTTCAGACTTTCTAGATAACATTTTATTTTTACAGCGGGGCCATGATTTATGTTCAAATCCAATATGTCTTTCTTTTCAAAGACAACAAAACTATCTCCGGACACTTCCTCTGCTCGGAATCTGTTGGCATACGTCTCATGAACTTTGACCACTTTTATCAGCCACTGGTGGACGTCTTCTATGGTCCATTCTTCAATTGAGGGTGGCAGCTCCATTGTTGAGCGTCTTGTTTTGGATCAACCTAAGGGGAGTTGTGTAAAAGAAGAGGTGTAAACAATGATGAATAGTAAAATGTTTTTATTTTTTAACCTACCTCAGACTAACAATATCAACTAATCTGTAAACAATTCATAAATTGACAAAAAAAAAACTGCAAATAATGTAATTTCAATAAGGTGGGGTTTAGACAAAACAAGACTATGTCTGTGCCATTTGCACAATAAGCTGGGTGTATGACATGTCAGCTGAGATAGGATGACCGCTCTGGATATGAAATCTGTGTGACGTGTATGTCTGGTGTCCAGAAGGCCACTCTGTGTCTCATCATGATCAGATATATGTCTCAGGATAAAGAACATGACGGTCTTTGTACAATGATATCATTGTGCGTGCGCAAGACCTTCTTGTTTATCACACCTTATCCCAGTATATATGTGAGGGCTGGAAAAGAAGACCTTTGAGCAGGCTTGGCGCATGACTTGTATGTGTGTCAACTCTGTCTGTTTGCAAACATTAAATGTCCTGTTTGACGATTTTACACCGGTGTCGAGTGAGAATTTACAGTTACTGGTGAAGAAATAAATCAATATAACACACAAAAAAACCTTCAGATTTTGAGATTTGCATCAAATAATATCACTAAAAGTCTGATAAGTTGTAAAAAACATGGAGATACCACACTCTAAAAAATTTCACTGTAAATTAACGGTATTTTACTGGCAGTCGACACTAGTAACTTACTGTTTTATTTACAGTGCCCTACCGTAATTTACGGTATGTTGTCGTATATTGGATTACAAATTGTTACCATACGATTACTGTTTTTGTGTTATAAATACCAGAACGTTACAGTTTACTTATAACTGTATACTTTTGCATTTAATTCCCCACAAATTAAAGAAAGACAACCAAACTCATTTTGGTCATAGTGGTTGGAGTTTATTAGATGCCTTTAAGACAAAAATGTTAGGCATTTGTAACCAAGAACAAATCATAAAATATGCCGCATGTATACAATAATAAAAAAATGAATCATAAAATTATTAGGAACAAGGTAAACTAACTGCAACAATACGCTATGGAACACTTTCAATTGACCGCAGCGTCCTTAATCCAGTGCCTCTGTAAAACAAACCAAAATAAAATATTTAGAAACACTGTCATTGGTAAAATATTAAAATGACAAAGTTGAGGATGACAACAAGATGTAAGAAAGGAGAATGTTAATCATGTTAGTCAAATAACATAACACTTACCAACGTTACTTGGAGAGACGAGGCAATGATAAACTCCTCCCATGTTGAACTGCACAGGTGTTCTGGATGAACTGAGATTACGCGTCTGACGTCACATTCAGGAGCAGTCGGTCACGATTAACACTCAAATGACTTTTAGGCAATGAACACTTTGAATAATACAAATATTTATAATCTTTACATTCCGGCCACTGAAACGACAGCGAAGGTGGAGGGAGGGTGTGCTGTGCAGCGCAAGGTTGGCGGTTCAAATCCTGGCTGTGTCACTGAGCAAGACACCTAACCCCCAATTACTCCACATAAAATTATGTGAAACCATGGGTGTTTTGGATAAAAGTGACAGCTGCATGTATAGCAATGTCCTGTAAGTCAAAGTCATTATCGTATCTCATGAGATACTATCTCATTATGATGACTTACAGGACCTGTTTTTCAGTGGCTAACATGGGCTTCCATACATTAACCTTCAAAAGATGTAGATGGATTGTGATTCACAGCACTTGTATGTGTATTTCCACCACTTCATAAAATATATGTAACATGCAGTTGAATTACGGTAGTCTGCTATTATTGTAAATTGACAGCTTTAACTGTTTATTCATGACATTGGCCAGTAATTTTCAAGCAAGGGATGGAAATTTAACTGTATGTTACAGTTTTTATGACATACTGTAAGATACCGTTAGAAATATTTTCATGTCACACGATTTTTGAAACCTCCGACTCAAAGTGCAAAACTACATGCCAAATCTTCAAAACCATAAGCTTTTTCTCAGCCTTTGACTCAGTTTTCGATTGTATAAAACACTTTTTTCAAAACACACTACACACAATTCTCTACCTAAAACATAAAGATCTATCAGGAAGTGACTTGCTTTCCTTTTCCAAAGACAACCAATCAAAATGCTACACTTATTTACCAGGTCACACAGACACACTCCTCACATGTGCAAACACTAATTGCTTAACTGATCACTAACTAATCACTGCTTTAGTGGGCCTATAAATAGGGACAGCGTGGGGGTAATATAACCATGTGTGCTGCCATCACTCAAAATGGGGTCCTCCATCACAATGCCACACTGGGTCCATACAACACCGGCCATATACTCACTTTTCTGGATGAAATTCACACAATGCTTGTCCCTGATCCAGATCAGGCGCCTGCTAGATTTGTGGTTATATGGGACAATGTTAGTTTTCACCGGGCTGGTCTGGTCCAAAACTG